GACTTTCCGGATTAGCATCATGAGTTGGGTTACAAAGAAGCAGTGGTGGCTTAATGGTGTTTCTATTCTCATTTAATTCCTTCACAGAGTTTCCTAGAGATATAAGGTCCAACTTATTTTGTTCAGCAGTTGCATATACCTCTGACAACAAGTCGGGAACAATGACTTCGGGGACATTGTTGAGGCTACGCGGAACGCACAGTGATGTACGTATCTTCTTAGCTGAGTGACCCAAACTATTCTTACGTATGGAAAGTACTCGTTTATTACGTTGTGCCATTGCTGAAAACTAATCAATATGGTTTAAAGTTAAAGCCGAGTTAAATCGAAAACGGGTATATGGATAAATAGTATATCGAGTGGATATACAGATTAAGTACTACTATGGATACCGTATGGAATTTTATTGCTTATAAATAAACAATAAATTTACAAAGTACTAAAAAGTAAAATACAGAGTATATAGAAACCAATTATCTTGTAAATTGATCCTGGTATGTAAACCACAAAATGATGAACTTCTCTACAGTTTTGTTTTCTGTGACGTTGTTCTAAAGTTACAATAAGGAGGATGAGCCCTGCGAAAGAGTGGATCCAAACTTGATAACTGGCGGTGATATTTCTGCAGAATTGGAAGCTAGAGTAGCAGCCAATATAAGTTATAGTTGAGCAGTGGTATAATATCCACTACAATATTCCAGAAATCGACAAAAATATATCCACGTTATGGGGAGAGATTGTAACGTCCGATCAGAATCGCGCGCGCGCGAAATCTCATATAAATCTTAGAAGAACAGGTTTCCCAGAGACTTCTTGTCTGTCGAACGTATTCCTGTCTTCTCACTCCCCATTTCTAGTCCTCGACAGTTCGCAATACCGAAGGTGATTTCTGCTTCTGTCACAGGTTGATATCATTGACACCTCTGTGCTTTTTATTGGTGGTACTTCTAATTGAATCGTTTCAGGTGATCAACCCACCGTTTTCGTCATTTCCTTTCGAATTACTTAACCATCTCTCATTGGTTTCATCCACGTTGGTCTCTTTCTGGATAGATACCTAGTCAAGGAACTTATCTAGAAGTTCCTATTGTTACGAAGATACTCTGCACCTATGAAAACTAATTAATTTTCTCGATTTCAACTCCAAAACACTAGTATTGTAAGAAGGAAGTTATATTGTTTGGCAATTAAAGCGGAGAACAGTAAAAGTTTTTATTCGTTTTTGTTTGTCATCGTCGAACTTGTACACGGTCGAACCATTCGCGCCTTCGAGTTGCCCAACAATGGCTACCAGTTCCAAAAAAGTTTGATGTTCACCTCCACTGATATATGTGGTTATCTGAAATAACGTCGTGAAGTCCTTTTTGCTTGTGGCCTGTTTTGCTTGAGTCACAAGTATGTTTTGGAATTGATTTTGTCCTTCCTAGCACTCTTCTTCATTTAATTTTTCGGTGTGGTCTACGCTGAATTCAGTTTCACTTTCTATTGTCAGTCACAGCATTGGTTAGTCTGTTTCACCAACCCCGCTCTCTAACGACAGTGTCTACTTATCTGTACACAGCAATTTCTTCTGTTTTCTCCTCTTTCTTCCTAGAACGTCTGGCATTGTTGGTGAACACTGAATAGTTTGTTTATCTGAACTCGTCTCCATTGGCTGGAGACGTTTGTTTACAGACGTCGGCACTGACTGACCATTTCGAATTGGTTTCGTTATCGCTTGAAGAATAAACAATCGTGTTTCAAACCGTTTTCTGTTGTATTGCGACGATAACAGTGCATACTATCCTGTGTATGTGTATTCTCAAACAAAAGATAAGTCAAAGATCTGTGCGATACGGATATTTAACGTATGTACATATTTTACAGAGCATCACCTTAAGAGTTTTCCAGTATTCGTCCACACACGCTTCCCCAGTGTAAATGATTTTAATCTGATGACTGAATTAAGAATGTCAGCTGTGCTGTAATACAGAAGTTTATGAGAGTTGAACATAAAATGTTCCTTGAATGTCTCTGTCAATGTCCAGGTGTAACTACGATAGACTTCACATTGGCATTGGAAAACTTTCAGGAACTATGCTCAATAAAGAGAATAAGTAACCAGAACACAAATAAGTGGATCAAGAGCCCTTTATGCTTGCACAAATACAGACCAAAAAACAGGTTATTGTACACAGAGTCTAAGAATAAATGGCATAACAATAAATCACAATAATACTTCTGACAGTTTATCTCCGTCTTCCAACGAACAGCGAACGATGAAACAATGACTGCAGTATTGATGACTCCCGCGAAAAATATGGAGGAGTTGGGTTTGAGCAAACAACCATGAATTGATCGTTCAATCTTCTACTACATTGTCAGACTCTTTACTTGATATTGGAGATATCTTTCCTTACTTTATTTTTCGACCACACATCTGCGCACCTGCTACTCATTACATCCAGGTGAATGCGCTTCCACTTTCTTGAGACTGCAAAGAACTCTTTTTGAAACTGATTTACCATCAAAAATATTATTACGGCAAGGCGAAACTAGCACAGCCATAACATCAGTGACCTTGGAAAACTAATCCAGATACAAGCAAGTCTCATTATCGTTAAAATATGCCCTAAACATACACTGCAGGCGTGATATTACACCACATAGTTGCAGCTAACGTGTAGTAGCTATTACACAGATGACCTGAAGAGAGACCATACCATTCGCGATATGTCCATGCGTCAAAGTGACTTCAGGTCACAGTACTTTGAGATCCATTTATGTTTCTAACAATATACTCCAAAAAATCTTAACTTCAACCATAATCGCAACTCTCGATTCTAAATTTAACCCTGATTTTAACCAAACTCCTATAGACTAATCTTTAAACGTAAAGTCATAGCCCTTCAGAACAGCACAGATTTGTAGAAAAAGAACCTGGTATATAAGTAGAATACTGTATTTAAACTTTGCATATTTAAAGTGGCAGGCATGATATTGTTTGGAATGACATTTCATAGCATTCCCTGTCTAGTCGGTCCTTGAAGGTCAACTTCTGAGGGACTTTGACTTTGTCTGTGATCATTCAACTTCGCATTTATTTAAATGAACAACCGACGACTAGTAAAATTGTGAGTGGCTAGCGGTGTTTTCAAACATATTATTCTTAAATCACATCCGAAGGCAAGTGAAGTGGGTAATCTAGTAACCTGAGCTGTCTCCAGAGCAGCGTACAGTGCATGAACATCCCATGTCCTCATCCTTATTTTTGCTCTCCAGTAAAGAAGTCATATTGGATGACTGGCTCCCGTAAGGCTCTCTTCAGACCGCATCGTTTCGCCTCTCCAGTTCCAGAGTTTGTTTTTTACAATTTTCCTATGGTTTCTGTAACGATTGGATTAATATTCCAGAGTAGGTTCCCTTGTGGCCAGCCCGAACTTCCCTCTTTTCGCATGCTTAGGAACTGCCAGAAAACCAGCAATCTAGTGAACCAAGTGAGGCTCAGCTGATCATTAACATGAATGAATTGGCAGTAGTCACAAGGCTTTCCACGAAGTTTGGGTTGATGCTAAAATGGTCAAGCAAGACACTGTAATGATAAAATATTGTGAGTCTTCATGTCAGCAGTAAACGAGAAGTAGACAGTGTATTTGCGACAACATAAAAATTTTTAGCGATTGAAGGAATTTCCTTAATTAAAATGAGCTACGCAAAGAAGTTAACTGGCCAGAATAGGCATGGTTTCGGAGCTGGTGAACATCTCCAAAGATATCACTCGACAGTAAGACAAATGATAAACTTTTCAGAATTGCAAATTGTCAAAGTTACACTCATTCACCATAGTAGAAAAGCCGATTGCATATAATATCGCATTCTTAGTGGATTGGTTAAATTCTTGGTCAACAATGGACGATCCAAAATGACAAGAATTGCACTTATGAACGTCGATAGCTGCATATGACATAGGCATTGAATCAGCCACACATAACTTTAAGGTAATTTTATATGAGGTCTTCAAAGTTAGGCGTACTACTACAGGAGAGGTGTAGTTAGTCGCAAAATGTTATTCTCCCTCGTCGTTTCGCAAGAGCTATCACAAGGACGCTTAATGGGTGCTTAATCCATTAAACGTTAGCACGGAATATGAACTTTGCTTAAACAAGTCTGGAGATAAAGCAGACGAAAGTTAGTCCTGCGCTCCTCACCATAAAAGATCTGACTAAAAGAAGCATTTTCCTTATTCTACCTTAGTTTAGCAGATGCCTTTATAATATCTATGTCGAATATTTCAGCAGTATAGATTTGTCATTTAGGACTACACAGCACCATCCAAATTACGTGAACATTGATTGATATTTAGAAAACAGAAAGATTGAGCGAAGAAATATTTACTTTTCAATTAGATCCTCATCTCTGGCTCTACTCTAATATATATAGCCTTTTAATTGCAGTACAACAGTTTGCCAATCAAGTGGTGATAAGTTTGTTACCAATAATTAAAGTGTCAATGGGTTAATAGTTAACGAAGAAAATCAATACAGATTTAAAAGGTGGAAATGCATAGAATAAATTAATTTTACCAGAATAACACGTAAATTTAATTTAAGTGGTCAAAATAAATAATTTAGACTAATATAATTTTATAGGTTTAGGGGGAGGGGGTGACGCAGTCCTGTTTATCCATTCTTGTGACGACGGCCGCTTTAGGGAAAGTGGCTGTACAAATTTTTTCTGTACACATAGGCTTGGCTTCTTCAGATGAATGCCAATCGCCTCAGCCGTCTGTAGAAGACGAACTCGCAAAGCAAAATTAAGTTAGAATGCGATAAATAATTTGAAATGCTGTATTAACATCAATCTTATGCTCAGTATAAACGAGGTGGGCTAAACTAGAGCTACGAATAGATCTTTTTTGTCTCTTACTTAACCACGTTGGATGATGTTCGGAAATACAACGATGATATGATTATGAACAATAAATTTTGTTAGAAACGTCATCCAGTAAATAATAGGCGGCACTAATACCTAAAATATGTTGTTTAAATTTGTCCCCATGTATACACAGTCATGTCCCACCTTGATAGCCTTATCAAATTTTTTTTTCAGACAAATTTAGGAGACTAGGTGGAAAGCTAACTGTTAACGTAGTGTACACTAAAGTCATTTATGACAAATGAAGCAATTGTTTTCTCTATAGTGACTTCGAAGGTTCTCCGATCAGGTTATTTGTAATGGCCACTATAATTTAATTTCTCTTCATTTTCTAACATTCACTGTGACATTCAACTCATGTTAGCTGAGTATTGGTTGGCGGAAAATTGACTGCAACGTTACTATGAGTGAAATCGCTCAATTGAATGCGTTGCTTAAAATCACGGCAGCTAAAGTTGATATTGAGAATGACTTCCTCGTTCACTACATAAATAAAATCTTAAAAATAATCATCTCATCAGATCTGAACAAACGTAAGTAGCAGGCTAAGTGGGCTGCAACTCATATGGGTCATATGACCAAGCTTGCGAAAATGCTGAAGTAAAGCTCGCAGATTTTGAACTTATGCTTTTTTTACACAGTGGTTAAGCTTTGAAATAGCTTGATTTTCTTCATAAATCAGGGTTGATGATGCTTTTCAGCTTGATTGGTACTTTTTAGTACTCGGTGCTTCTCTCAGTACCGTCAATAGTTGAGAGTTTATTGGGTTTGCTTTAAAATAAACTCAGGATACGTTATTTCAGCTGTGTCATCACTGACCAGGTTTTTCTTAGTGTGGTTCTTTCGAGGCACACAAAATATTCATTTATCTTTGGACGGTACTATCAACGCGTTGTTCAGAAATAGTTTAGGATTACTGTATGCCTATGTAATAATAATATTCAGAATGTTTTCAATCTGTGTTTATTCTGGTCTGTGACAGTTTGGAACCTTTGTATTTCAAGTTGAATTACATCAACGTATTAGCAGCTCAATAAACAGCTATAAATGATGGAAGTTTTACGTTAGCATTACTGACTTTTAGTCTCGGCATTCTCTTTCGGTAAATGGGGACCATTTTTGTTTGGTATAACAGTGCTGTGCAGAGAAGCTTTGTAGAGTAATTCAGACAATATTATTCAAAAGAAAATCCGTGTAAACTCTGCTCGCATTCGAGTTCCAGGTACTGTCTGCTAGTGATCCGTAATTCTTTTCATTTGTGTTTGCATCATTTCTGTTGTAATCACCCCGTTATATCTAACGCGATTGAGATGCGTACAGACATCTAACTGCTTGATGTATAATGAAAGATATTGTGGCGAATTTTAGTCAAGGTATTCCTCATTAAGGCTGTTTCATTTATTTGATAAGTCAAATGGTAAGTAGTGTTTCTAAATTTCTGTTATTCATACTGTTGTTGTGTGAATGACTTGATGTGATTATGAGCAATAGTTTGTGCTCAAAAAGTCATCAGTTGATATTACTGTACAACATATTATCTATAATACAGTTATATTCTACCACAGTCCCCATCTTTTATATCAACATTCATACTGTCCACAGAATTGTTAGAATATGTGTGATACTGTCCTGCAGGGAAGGTAGTTGAACAAATAAAAGGCGAACTAGAAGAAAAGAATGTATTTCTGTGGGCGATTTCTCACTAGGTGACGTAATTACAGCGTATGTTTTCTAGTTGGATATGTTTGTGAGCTCGTGATTTAGTACGATCAGAAAGCAGATGGTTGTGTGTTTAATGTATCTCGGTGTATCATACCACTAGACAGGACCCGATATGTCACACAACTGTCTCGAAGTGGTATAGAATGTGGCTCCGTTAAAGCGAAAAGAGAAGATGTAGTTCCCTTTCAACTGCTTCTGAACTTAATATAAAGTTACGAACACCCCCCTTTGAACGTACTTGTAAAGTAAGCTTACCTGTTTCTTGTAGGCCTACCGTCTCTGGGCGTAAAAACGTTACCAATTGTGCGCTAATTATGTTCTTGGAGTGTTTGTACTGGTGTTTGTCTGATTTTTACTTTTCTCGGTGCCTAAAAATATTCTTTATATGGCATCATAGGGCCCTACCTAGTGCCAAAATATGCAATAGAATTTGTTTTTCTCGACCACCTCAGTCTTAACGTGCAGTCTCTCTCCAAAGTGGACACATTCTTGTTTTTTCCACTTACTGTCCCATCTATCTCTGATATATGCTCTTATCTTCAGCTGTTACGGAGGAGTTGACACTATCTATCAAATGCTTAACCAACATATGCTCAACATCTCAAGGAATACGTCTTTTGACTGAAGTGCTGTCCGATGAAAAAAGCCGTGAAGAGTTTACTAACGTTCTCTCACTCATTGCTTTGAACAGTTCCAAAAATGGTTCCGATTTAGGATCCTTGGCTGTTAATTTGATTTCAAACATGACTCGGGATCCGGTGTGGTTGAATTATTTTAACAAACATTTTGATAACCAGCATATTATTTCGATTATGGAGTCAGATTTTACCGTCCAGCGATTCCTTCCGGTGAGTACGTTTTGCTGTACCTATTTATTGATTCCAGATCATTTTGAATCTAACCACCGAAGAATCATCACGTCGTGACATATCTTCAACATTACTACCACGGCTTATTGATTTATTTCCTCAGTTGACGTCCGTTCCAGATAAAGTTCTTATATCTGGCATCATAAAAAACTGTTCATTTGATGATGGTAATTTGCAATATTTTCACTATCACACTTTTATTCAGATCTCCATTGTAAACTGCTTGATAAAAGTGTAGCTTTTCTTGATAAATGGTTAATTCCCTTGTGCGGTCCAGAGGATTGTATTGACAAAGAAGATCTTTCTGTGTTGCCTAAGTCTGTACAGACTGTTTCTGGCAACCCTAATATTCCCCGTTTGTTTTCTGCTGACCTATGCCTCACTATTTGCCAAACGTTCTTACAAGTAAGTTCATATCAACGTGCTACTAAATTTTCCTGTAGTTTTGTTCCACTAGTCACGGACGTACAATTCTCCGATCTAATGGTGTTTATTTTATTTTACGTGAGTTACACAAATATGTCTCAACGGTTGAAGGGCAGATATCATCTTCTGAGAGTGGGGAGAAAAATTTAATTAAAGAATTGCTATTTTATATCGAACAAGTGGTAGATCAACTTATCTGTGAAGAAAATGAGCGTGATCAAAATTACACTGAATCCAGTCTCAGAGAAATATCTGTCGATACAATAACAAGCGAGAAGTTAGAACGAGCAAAACAAGACTATTTAGAATGTAAATAACATTGTATTTATAAAGTGAAATTCATATTTTCATATCTGTGTGCTCAGATTTTTCTCTTTTTATCTTTCAAGACGGTGGGTTCTGACTTGCAGTCACTAGAAATATAGAACTGCTATATTCGTTTCTGATTATGATAGAACAAGTCTTGATTGCATTTACCTACAATAGTTAAATTGAGAGGCTTCATAAAATTAACCTGCCTGTTTTTCTAAACATTTGTTTGATAATGCCACACAGTGCTCAAAATGAAGAAGACAGATACAAGCTTTGATACAAAAATATGTAAGACTATATCGTTGTCCAATTATATAAGAGTAACATAACGTTATACTAACTCAAGAAGTTCTGTTAAAGAAAATGTGTTCTATTCGTTTAAGTAACCAGTTTCTAAGGCAAATTTGTACACCTCAAAGTTTCGTGTAGATAAGAAATGCAAACACGGTTCATTTTTATACTCAATCCGTCCATCTTCTTCGTGATGTCTTATTAAATCTGTAATGCTCATAAATGAGACTTCACTCGAACTATCAACTGCTTTTGTTCACTAAATTTTGGCTGCAAATTCTGGATAGTGGGATAAAAACTACTGTATCGTGAAATTCATCATTTTTTTTAAAATTCAAGTCAAAAACACTAACGAATTATCTGTGTTGAACAGTAGTGGCCTTATCATGTGAGCTCGATGGGTCGTCTTCATGTTTCCACATACTTATTTAAAGTAAACCAGTATTCATTATACATGAGGTATTACGGCTTTATAATTTATTACGGAGTCCTTCAATTATGACTTCTTTATAATCTCATGAACGATATAGGCACTGTGCGTCGGTGGCACAGTGGTTAGGACTCTCGCCGACCATGCACATGGTCCGGGGTTCGAGCCCACGCCGGCGCACACCTGATATCTATGGTCGGCCTGCAAAATTTGGGCTACCGATATCCATGCTGAAAATTCCATACTTGTACCAAAAATACAGTGTGGAATCAAGCTGTAAATCAAAAATTAAAATTAATTTTCATGAATTACAGGTGACTGGAATCAGACGATAAATAGATTTCTCTCCCTCTCTCACCTTGCGATAATGTATAATTTTCAAAAAGACAGAATTATATTTTGTACAAGAAAGCAGTTTAAAAAGATCAGATGAGAAACAATGAATGAATTAGTGATGAAATAAAAGAAGATATAGTAGACTTAAAACAGATTTATAGTCCGATAAGAATAAAATCCCATCTATTAAAATAAACGTTTGATTCCCTGAACCTTTTTTATGGTAGAGTATTACCGGGTTGAGGGTTTGTCTAACTTGACCAGAATGTGCCTCCAGACAGTACACTATAACCAAAGGACTCCCTACACTTGGGTAGACACGAAAGTCAGATTCAACTGCGACGTTTTTTCAGACTAGATATATGTTATATCACATTTACAAAACCTCAGATCAGGTTTCGGTTGTTTCATTGCAATGGCTTCAGCAAACCGAGGAAGACTTGGACTGTTTTATCTGTTAATTATTTTGAATACTCTCAATGTGTCCACTTATTCAAAATAATTAGCAGACAAAACATTCCAAGTCTTCTTCGGTTTGTTGGAGCCATTGCGACTAAACGATTAAAATCTGACCTATGTGTTTAAAAAGAATCTGCCTTGGGCTTCAATTACCTTGGTAACTTTTACCTTAGTAACTGTTCTTCTTCTAACTTCATTTTTTCCAAAACCCTACCCATTTTTGTGGCTTGACTTCCATATTAGAATTAATTTTAGGTCTTTTGAATTCTTCCCAGTGTATGACATAATCTTTTCATCTGGCTTCATACGCAATAAATTTTGATTTTCCTATCTTATGACTTTTAATCACCATATTTCATTATCTGTGATGAAGCAGTTATCACTGACTCATCACCACCCTAATGGGAAAAATGTTCACCTTTTACTTTAAATTTCGTTCTTATAATGTACATATTCTACCAACTTGAAATAACCTTATCACCCTTATGTTTTTGTTTCCATTATGACTATCTTACAACAAACCTTACTAGAGGACTGATTTGTGATGAAAAACAAAGTGTACGTTAAAATTGTATGATAACTGGTTTTATTAAATACCATAATTTGTACGCACTTGAAGAGGACCGACGAAATAGAATGGATCCATGTCTTCCTGTACCAATATTTTTTCTATCTCTGTTCGAATCTATAAAAAGGAATTCATGTATGAATTTTTAAGTTCTATGTTTTGTTTATTGTCACAAAACAATTAACCTTTCATGTAGACACTTTACAGGGGTGTAACGATTTTGTACATAACACTAGCTATTAAAACTTAAAGTCCAACGGAATAACTGTTGCTCGATTTCAATAAACTCCTACGACATAAGATTTTCAGAACTATTGGGACTTTGACGTGAAATCGTCTACTGCATGATTAGTATAACTATCTGGTGAATAGAGTTCACATCAGGGGAATTTTAGTTGTAACAATATCATAGAAATTTACAGTTGTACAATATACTGGACTAATATTATATAGTAGGATGTATATCAAATAACGAAAAAATCTCTAACAGGTTACTATCTTTCAAGACATATCTATATAATTGACATTTGAAATACAATACCGTTTATAGGAAATCTTAGGACAGATTCTGGGAAGATTGATTATTGGTCAGAAATGAAAACCAGTAAACTGTGGTATAGCAGAGATCGATAACTGAAGTGAAATTAGAACTTTGTTACTTATATTTATTATTTCAGAAATGTGGATATATATATATATATATATATATATATATATATGGTTTGCAGAAATAGGTCAAGCATATGCACATTCCCTGCCCATAATCTCGAATCATTGTACACCTGTATGGACATATCCATTTTTCGTGAGATACAACAAATATGACATAATTCTTTACACAATGATATCTGTAAGAATTATCATATTGCGAAATAAGAGTTCTTTCTTTCTGGTTTGAAATTCATACTTATCATTCCTATGTAAAAAATTTTTATTCCTCTATGTTGCCAGTGGAATATAGTGCTTCAAGCTACAGGCTTGAAGTTTCGATGGCAGCGGTGTTTGTTTTTACGTGATGGGGTTGCTAGCCTCATGCCCAACCTCCCCTCTTTACTAGTCTTATTACAAGCTTAGTGAGGCAAAGGAGTGCGTCGGCCGGGGATCGAACCCTAGACCACCTGAGTGGTCGGCAAGCATTCTACCGCTGTGCCACCGACGCATCATGTAAATAGATATCACAAATCAGTACTGTTTCTGACATAGAAAACTACGTTGTAGGAACTTGTTCTCTAATAACTTGATATTCCTAGTGGTCCATGGTTAGTCAGTACGCATCAATCGTCTTGATCTATCAAACGATCCGTCGAAAGTGTATATCAGTCAAGCACCTATTGAATGTTTTCGTTTCTAAACTTATCCTACCATTAGCTCACATACACACAACCATAATGATGTCACGCTGCATAAATTACCGGTACTATGACGTTTAGGACAATTAATCAATAATCATAGGAGCGTATTTAAGAACAAAAATTCTCGTAATACATACATTTGCCAACGCCACAAAATAAAATGCTTAAACAGACCGGCTAGCTTTTTTACTTTGTCCTATAATTTGCACTGATAACACATGCTATCACAAGTGTTAATGAATTCACACAATTATCTTAAAAAAGTTTTTTTTAGTTCAAGATAGACATTCACTATAATAAGACAGAAAATTTATTCTGCAAATGTACAATATGCTTTCAAAATTATGAACAGCTTTGCATCTTAAATAGCGTATCAAATAATAAACAAAAAAACAAAATGAAATGCAAGCAACAAACAAAACTGATGTCAAGAAATACTTTACTTCCACATTAAAACAACTAAATTATCAATAAAGTTAGTTGAACGGAGTGTATCACACATTGCTAGTATTATATGCTAATTAAGTTTACCGTAGTAATACATTCATATATATATATATATCAACCTTGAAGGAGGAAAAATGCAATACATATGTAAAACGGGAAATCAATATCATATTATAATTAAAGCTTGGCTCCATTTAGATTGCCAGGTAGTTTAATTTTATACTGACATAAAATTTGCTCCAATTGTTGATTATTTCCCGAGAAAAATGCGGATGTTGCATTATGCAACAACACTAACTGATGCTGCATGACACGTAACTAGAGATTAAAAAAAGTATATAAAGTAATTATTATTATTACTAATAATAAAACCTCAATCAATAGGCACTTAAATTCAAATTTGCCACGCAAAAGAATAATTTGCTATACGTCATACTTTCGAAAAATACATTTAAATCGTAAAAATAGGTTATACATTCATTTCTGTGTAGTAATTTTATTTTTATTTCAAAAAGACATCAGCATAAGCCACTTTTATGAAAAAACTTACCTAGTTGTGGGGCACATTACGTACTCAATCATTCATAAATAAAACAGTTTCTCAATATGTAACTTTTTCGTTACAAAATTTTGTGTGACATGCTTTAACCCAACTGAAATAGCATTCAGTCATTATTTCTCCTGCTAGTTTGTCTTCACGACTGTTTATTACTAATGCAACAGTATCACTCGTTTTTATTTATCATAATAAGAACGTATTTGAAGTCAATGTCAGTAAACATGAATTAACATGAAAAATCAATAAAAGAAAACTGCAGATAGTAAGTATAGAAGTAACACACACAAACGTATGCTCTATATGCTCTGGTGACTTTTGAGTGGCCAGCGTTTGTTTTTCTCTTCTATCCAAATGTATGTATACCCATTAGTCTCGATGAGACCAGTAAAACTGAGTGTATGTAGTTCAACCTGTTTTATACATCTTATGGTTTTATAAATTTTAGAAAACCAAATAAGAAAACGTTGAAAAATTGACGTGGAACATAAGAAATTTACAAAAGCCAACTAAATACACAGTAAGATTATTGGCACGCCCTACCAATTTATCATTCAATAATAGAACTGATGTAACAGTGTTATTAGGGTATTTTCCAATCAATTCATTGAGTGTTATTTATTTAGCGTGTTGCATACTCTTCAGTAACCAAAAGAGGATGAAAACCAACTTCATTTTCTTTGTTTATTCTGTTAATCTAGGAATTCTATATATAGAAATGTCAACTTTTGCAACTCAAAGGCGTTACTGATCTGTACATTTTTATATTTTTCATTTATATACTAGATAAACTATAAATAAATATAAAGTACAAATGTCAGCCTAATCTAAATTTAAGAAATTCATACTAGTATACCTACTTCTATTGTTGATTGTTTAGAATTCTATTGTGTTATCTCCTGTAAGTTTATGGGTCATAAAAATGATGTTTGCTCGCCTAGACGCGAATTTCTTTTAAATTCACATTGTTTTCCGTCGGTGAAAGGTTAAGATCATCAATGAAAGCTATCACAAAGTTGTCCTCCAGCAGGTGATCACTTAAAGTGTTATTTATCGAGGTCACCTAAACTTTTCAGTAAAATGAATAGCTTTTATCATCGAACAAAGGCTAGTTTATTGTTCGTCTAGTTCATTGATTTTGGCGTAGTGTCTTGAGTCAAATAACGTTGTATTCGGATGCATTGGTGCTCTGATTTATATTTGTTTACTAATGAATGCTTGAAACTAGTAGAGCCTGCAAAATGTTCGTCTCCAATAAACCGACAGTCTTCACAGTTCCCAAAAATCAAATTTTAAATGACCTCTCCGTGATGAAGGTATGAGAAAGGTTCTAAAAGTATGTACTGCTACAGAATAGTTTTAGGCTTACGACAATTAAAAAAAGCTGGATAGTGTTGTCTGTCTGTCTTCGACATAGAACTTTGCACCGATGTGTGGCAATTCAAGTCGCTACACTCAATGTAACACACAAAGCAAGAGAAGAAGGTAGAAGAAATCCATAACAGAGACAGTAAACAGAGATGTGAGACAAAGGAATAGTAATAACGAAGAACAATATAGTTTCATTGGAAATCATACGTCACAAGGAGTGGATGCATCTGCGCCAGCCATTGAGAACGATTTTGAGCCATATCAATAATTGTTTCCAACCATTGGTTTTTACCGTCCCGAGGACCCCAACCAGGAAGTCAACAACTTCCTACGTGGCTTAAACTAACTGTTGTGGATTTCATTGTCTGTCTGTCTGTCTGTTTTCGACATAGAACTTTGCACAAATGTGCGGAAGTTCAAGTCGCCACATTCCGTGTAGCACGCGAAGCAAGAGAAGAAAGTACAAGAAAAGCATAATAGAAACAGTGAGCAGAGGTGTGAGACAAAGGAGTAATAAAGAAATACAAAACAGTTTCATTGAAGATCATAAGTCACAGGGAGTGGATGCATCTGCGCCACTGAGAACGATTTTGAGCCATGTCACCAATTGTTTCCAACCATAGATTTTTACCGTCCCGAGGACCCCAGCCTGGAAGTCTACACCTTCCTACGTGGCTTAGACCAACTGTTGTGGATTTCATTGACTGATGCCAAGTTTTTGTTTGACCGCCGCTAGCTTTTTTCCAGCCTGACCCTATATCCGCTAACATTGCTCGTCGAGGGAGGCGATGGCTTGGCATACGTAACACATGTCCTAACCATCTCAGTCTTTGTAGCTTCACGACTTCGTCGATTGATTTCCCCTGTTTACCTAGAACTCTACGCCTAACCTCCATGTTGCTCACCTTATTATGCCACTTTACACGGGAAATAGAACGCAGGCACCTATGATCAAAGACAGCTAGTCTTTTCATGTCTTCCACTCTCAGTGGCCAGGTCTCACAACCATAAAGGAGGACGGAGCGGACTGATGAGCAGTACACCCGCCCTTTGGTCGATAGTCGAACATCTCGTCTACGCCAGAGTCGGCGTAAACTAACAAATGCGAAACGAGCCCCTTGTATTCGTGCTGAGATTTCGTCAGAGATCAGCCCGTTGGGGCTGATGGTACTTCCCAAATAAGTGAAGCGGTCAACGTGCTCTACCACTTCACTTCCTATTTTTAAACTAGGCGTCGATGTAGTCCAGTCCTGTAACATCATCTTGCATTTGGCGGGAGCGAATCGCATGCCAAACATTCGTAGATTGCGGCTCAAGGTGTTTAGAAGACTCTGCATTTCGTCAGCGTCTTCGCCTAGAAGGACTATATCGTCTGCATATTCCAAGTCAACGAGATTATTCCCCGGTAGCAAGTCAATCCCTGAGTCGCTGAAGTCACCTAGGGTTAAGTCCATTAACACATCTATGATGAAGTTGAATAGAAAAGGAGATAATGGGCATCCTTGACGGACACCACTGGTCGTCATCAGTTCAGATGACAGCTCGCCGTAAGCCCTCACCTGGCTGTATGAGTACGAATAGAGTGCCTTAATCAGTGCAATATATTTTCTTGGAATTCCCTTTACAGCCAAGCATCTCCAGAGAACTTCCCGATCGACAGAGTCGAATGCTGCCTTTAGGTCAAGAAATATAATGACTGTTGGACGCCGGTAGGAATGCCTATGTTCTAGAATCTGTCGGAGGGTGAAGATATGATCAATACACCCTCTTCCTGGTCTAAAGCCTGCCTGGCTCTCTCGTGTTTGTGCTTCCCGAGCACCACTCAGTCTACGCATGATTATTGAGCCTAAGACTTTAGATACTATATTAGTCAAGCTAATCCCTCTGTGATTATCACAGGAAGACTTGTCTCCCTTCTTGTATATGGGGATAATCAGTGACTTACACCAACCCGATGGGACTTCTTCTGATTCCCAGACGCTGCCTAGTACCTCAGTTAATCCGGACAGTAAGCTGTCTCCACCGTACTTAAATACCTCTGGAGTCATTCCATCAGGTCCCGCTGCTTTGCCTAGTTTCAGATTGGTGACAGCTTTAGTAACCTCAGTTAGTGACGGAGGACCTGTGTCTATATCCCATTCAGGGAGGTGTTGGATGCTCGGAAGGTTGAGCGTGGCTGTGGGCAAATTAAACTGCTCCTCATAATGCTCTTTCCAACGATCCAGTCGTCTATCCTGTGAGCTAATTATAGTGCCATTTTTTTCCGAGATTGTCTCACTAATGATTTGTCTTCTCCCACCCGTTTCCCTGATGAGTCCAAAGAGTTGCCTGGTGTTGCCTATCCTCAAAGCTTTCTCCATCTCTTTGGCTTTTGTCGCCCACCACTGTTCACGGTCCTTGCGGAGACTTTTCGTAAGTTTCCTCTTGTGCAGCTTTCGCTCCTCATTGAATTCGGAGCTCGCCGGAATAAGTCTTCTAGCATCTATCAGTTCGGATGAGGCGGTGGAGATCCAGTGGTTTTTACTCACCTTTGGGTTTACCTTATTCACAGCTTTTACAGCTGTATCTATGGCTGCCTGGATATTTTTCCAAGCTTCTTCAGGGTGAGCACAGCTGTCGAACACAGATATGTGTTTAGCTAGTTCTTCCTCAAATACGGATTTAGTTTCCTGATCGAGCTGGGGACGTGATGGTTTTACCGCCAGCTGTTTCCTACGTCCGTTCAGTCGTAAGCACACCCGAGCGCGGACCAGTGCATGGTCGGTATCTACGCACGTGTTCCAGAAGGAGCGACAATCTCCTACCGACCCACGCCAACGATAGCTTATTGCTATGTGGTCTATTTGTGTCCAGCGTTGGTTTGATGAAGGGGGTCTCCAAGTCAAACAGTGTCTCTCCTTGTGTTTAAAGTTAGTGCTTACAAGAAACAAATGATTATCAGAGCAGAACTGTAGGAGACGGTCACCGTTGTCGGTTCGCTGGCACGGAACTCCATAGGTGCCACCGACATCCTTCTCAGATTGACACAATTTCCCTACTTGAGCGTTAAAGTCACCAGCTAGAACGACTATGTCTGAGCGTTTAGCCTTTCCACCAAACTAGACAGCTTTTGGTAGAACTCATCCTTCGTTTCATCTGAACTGCAGTCAGTGGGGGCGTAGGCGGAGATTACGAAAAGGCATCGGCGAGTAGTGCAGTCCTTCCTCCTTCTTACTGATCCGTTCAGGCGGACAGCACACATTCGGCTATCTACCGGGATCCAGTCAAGCAATGTCTTTTCTGCCCTAGTACTCAAAGCTATCCCTACGCCAGCTAATCCTCGTGAACTAGCTGTGGCATCTCCTGACACCCTCAAGGTGAATTTTGCAGATTCAACCTGTTGGCCAGGTGGGGTTAGGTGAATAACCACACTTGGGTCTTGTATGCGTGTTTCTGAAACACAGCATACATCAATGGCTCGTGATGCCAGGGTCTTGGCTAGTGATGCTTGTTGTCCTATTTGGCAAAGTGTCCTAACATTAAGAGCTCCTATATGAAATTGGTGGCGCGGCTTTAAGAGGCTGTCGGTGGTGGTTTTTTGGCTTCCATCGTTTTTAGTGGACGCAGAGTGGAGAGGAAGTGGAGAGCTATCAAGTCGAGGAGTTGCATCAGTGGAAGGAAGGCAAGATGATAGAGATGAAGATGAAGACAAAGATGAGTGAGTAATAGAGAGGTTTCGTGTGCATTTCGGATTGTGAGGGCGATTGTTACTTCCCGGCTGCCCACACCGTGGAAGTTGGTTGCGTGACCGCAGAGCCCAGGGGACAACTGCTTGAGGCCGGTCACACGCGGCCTGTTTTTGTTCGTTCTTTTTTGTTTGGTGTGTCTCAGTAGCAGATTTATCACTCCCGCCCTGTGACACGGCAGCAGGAAGCGCGGTCGTTGTTAATCCGGGCCACGGCCGATCCGGCATGAAATTTTGTAATTTTGTATTGGACATGATGTTGGATTGGGTAGCTGCTTTTTGTTTAACCGCTATCCAAACAACCTGCCTGGCATGGTAGAACCTCAAGAGACATAAGTCTCAGCCAGTATAGCTTGATTAGGTCATTGCGGTGTTCAAGCCCGACCACCACGTCAAGGTAGCAGCTTTCGGTCGGGATTTCATTGACTGGTGCCATGTTTTCATTTGACCGCCGCTAGCTCTTTTCCAGCCTGACCATATGTCAGCTAAAACTGTTGTAACCTATTTTGAAGAGTCATACAAGATTTCTGATCGATTGCCTTTCAAATCACAAATATGAAGCCTACATTTCCTCATATAAATAAAATTCGCAACCAACAGACTCATACTTTACCTGAAAAGATACACTGACAACTTAAATCAACAATGAGTATATGAATATATTTCTTATTCAAAGCTGGACGCAATTTCTTTTAGTTTAAAAAAGATAGCTAAATAATTTGACATTAGTCGTTTGATATTCTACAGATTGATGAGTTGTACACTTTAAGGCTTAATGAATTGAAGTAAGAATCCAATAGAAATTGCAAGTTCTTATCGTCTTTTCTCATCCAGCTATATAAAAGGCTATTAAAAGAAGTGAACTAGAATGTGTTGGGTGTCAAATTACGTGCTTGGGTTAAACTTGAGAAGTGCAAGGAATATGAATCATAGCATTTTTCCAAATACTAAAACAAATGCAAGTGGATTGATTCATACTAATCAAACATTTTCATAGAAAACACCAACTTGAAACATACAGATACATACAATACGAAAATAAGTGTAAAGGAAAGAAATATATGGTTCAAAAGCAGAAATTCCGAATAAAGAAATCAATCATATGAAAGCAGATTCACAGAAAAATAGATCTACTTCTCAATTTACATTACCGATTATTTTTAGATGTTAAAGTAATCCAAAAAATGACTCCAGAGATCGTAATATAACTACATTTAGAGGTATTTTCTTATGAACTACTAATGACTTATTTCAGAGGTATTTCGGTAATTAGAGTTTGAACCATCTGAAAATATTTCTAGTCTTCCATTTCATGAGAACGGTTCAATATCAAGAGTCTGATTACTGATTTGCATTATGCGTTTAACGATAGTTTTAATCCATGTGTGCACTAATTATTTTTTACGATTATTCAGCCGAAGTTCTATGTTATGCTTTTACTATTCTTGAATTTAGAAATAAGTTCAAATGAAACTGGCTTACTGTCTGTACAGTACCTAATCTACCATTTGAGAGAATATGTTAGTCACAATAAATTTCACAGTTGACATTTAGACATTGTCTACTAAGTGTTTGATAACGTTTAACTGGTTATCTTCTGGAAGTAATTAATTGTACTTTGGGTTTAGATATCAGGCTATGTACTTTACCTATAAGTGATGAACATGCTTTGATTCTTACTGTTACCCGAATTTCCACTGGAATGCATTGAAAAAGACTGCCTTCCTTCAAGTTAATGAACAGCTGATTGTGAACGTGCTACTGATGAAGTGCCTCAAGAAGTAAAAACAAACCCTAGACTAAAAGGACCCAACCTCATAGAAATCAATAGCTAATAAAAATTTGAGCAAAGGATTTTACAAATGAAATTTGGTTAGTCAAATTGACAAACACATTAACTTACTCTGTTATCTTGTAGGAATTCCAGTTTACAACAAACAACCTTCTTCAGTTCAGTGTACCTTTCAAAGGCTGCTTCTAATCCAGACTGGATACGACCGTCATCGTGTACCTGATTATTTACAATTTCATTTCTTGGCATAAAAATACCAGTCGTTGTAGGATTATCACAGTTATTGTTACCGTTAACAGATTTTTTATTCTTCAGCTGTTGAGCTTCATTACGATAAGCATCGTATTCTACACGAGCCGAATGCATACTGGCAACAGTATTCCATGTATCCGTAAATGCATGACCGATAAGTGTACCCAGAGAATTCACAAAATGATCTAATGATGCTAAATATATAAAAGAAATCGGGCAGCACACAAAATTACGACTCTTATTAAAGTAAGGAATTTTTCATGACAATATCCTGGCGAAAATTCCACTTCTGAATAAAAGAAACATTTATATTACACAGCTTATTCTAAAACAAGTATCCCGAATATAGACTCCACAATCAAATTTAAATCCCACCACACTGGAATTTCGAACTACCTGAGACTACATATCTACCGCTAGTCATCATTAGATTTCCAAGCGTTGGTTTGCAGGGATATGGTTGGCTACAGGTTTGATCATGAGGTGACATCAATTAGAAAACCGCTGGAAAACCAAGGACTACTGGTCGGGCTGTAAAGTCTACAAGTTCACCTTGTAAGCATAAGGCCCTGTATTCCAGCTCGGTGGGTGTGTACCGATGAAGAGTTCCAGACTAGGACAAAACAGGTATTCAGTAATCTCTGGTTTTCTAATGACTCTCTAACTGGTGTCAGCTCGTGATGAATAGAGTACAGTGTGTTTACATGAGGAGCGTACTGCTTTCTGATGGAGAAAACAATGCTGATAAATAGTTATATTAAAATAATCATAAACCAGCTAAAATCCACGTTCTCTACGCAACAAAGTATTCTTTCTAGATAAAAGGCAGTCTAATCTGCTCGTCAAATACTGATTCTTCTGTCAAAAAAGTGCAAAATAATGGATATCACTGTAAGAAACAATAGATTTACACATATAAGAACATTTAAAAAACATCTATGCAACTCATACCTAGTAATTTTTCGCCATTCGAGATTACAATACGTTGTGTTTCTGTATTGTATGTAAATTCATTGCTTAATTCAGGTTGTTGCACTATTAAAGTAGCCATATGATTTGAGAAGGCACGTTGATGGTTAAGGGTTTCACGAAAACTATTTGTTAACTTTTGGGCAAGATTGTGGAGTATTTTATACTGCTGATGCATATTCCTAGTTTAAAGAAGACAAAAATCAGACTAATAAAAATAAACACTAGAGAAGGTGAAAAAATTTAATTAAGAAAATCAGTTTAAAATATAAAGTAACAGTACAAACCAGGAACCAAAACTCCATCTAGCCTTCAAACACGATTGTATGTGGCAAGTAAAACATGAATACACCTGACAGTACATTTCCATTAATGGTATTACTTTGACAGAAAGAAGATGGAAAAATAGCTACATAATGTTACATTAAAAAATCCAACAACAAAAGATAAAACTGTGATGCTAAGTTATTCTATGCAATTGAAAGCATACAGCTTTATGGTTGTTCTGCAGTGAGTAAGAGTAGATTTTTGCACAAAAAAGGAACAGTTCAAATTGTCACTTTTTAAAAGTCAACACAAATGTACAAGAAAAATACGAAGAAATTGTAATAAACAGAAATTTATGGGTGTAAAAATAATTACAAGGAAGAGAATAAGAAATTGATGGATCTAGGAGATCTCAAAAAGTTAATACAATTAAGCCACCGACAACGATGTTGAGCAGTGTCAGTGATGGTCTCTAGCCATTGATTTTAGCGTCTGAGGAAACCTAGTCAGGTACTATTTACTTCCCTATATGATTAGCTCAAACCAACAGTTACAGACTTCATAGACTGATAACATGTTTTAGTTTGAATCTTCAGCTTCACAACTCCATCGATCAATTATCTTCTCCAAACTAACACTCTACTCGTAATCCCAATGTTATTCACCTTAATTATACCAATAATAGGAAAGATAGCAGGCGAAACATTATGGTTAAGTCCGGTTAGCATCTCCACTTTCAACGGTCATACCTCACATCCGAGAAAGACGGAGCGAGTACCTGTGCAATACACACGTTTGATGAACAGTCGGATATCACGTCTACGCCAGAGATGAATTAATTTGGTAAATGCCAGACCAGCTTTTTGAATCTGTGCTGAAACTTCGTCAATTAGTATAATCCCGACCCAACCATTCCACTTCTTATCCCTAAACTACAAGTCAGTGCAAATCAGTCCTGTAGTGTCATCTTACACCTGACCAGTGCTAATCACGTGCAAAATACACCAAAATGTTTCGCCCAATGTATACAAAAGACTATATTACACCAGCGTTTTCAACAAGAAAAACTCTATCATCTTACGAGAACTATTAAGTCTCTGTAGTCGATCAGTGTTCTTCCCATTAGTACATCAATGATTAAATTAAAATAGGCACAAGGTATCCCTGATAGACACCTCCGGTTGTCTTTAATTTAAATGACAACTCGTCATAAACTCTTAATCGACTGAATAAGTTCAAGTAAAGTGACTTGATGAGTGTGATACACTTTCTCAACAATCTCTTCACGACCAGACATTGTCACAACACTTCCTGGTCGATGGAATCAAATGGTACCTTTAGATCAAGAAATATAGCAAGCGTTGAACGCCTAGAAGTATGTCCATGTCCCACAATCTGTCAAAGGGTGAAAATATGATCACCGTCTTCCTAACCTAAAGCCTAACCATTTTACACGGCTTCGCTTTTGTCAGGCACCACTCGGTCTACGGAGAATTACTGAACCTGGAATTTTACATAATACATTAGTCATCGTGATTCCCCATTGATTACATCTTCTTTCCTATAGAGAGCGACAACCAGTGATTTCCAATACTTTGGCAAGACGATCTCAAATTCGCAAAAAAACCAAATACTCCAGATGAATAAGTCGATGGTTAATCCCCATAGTTTTCAAATATCTGTGGAGTTATACCACCAGGTCCCGGCGCTTCACCTCTTTTTAGTTTAGAGATGGATTTCGCAACCTCGGTTACAGTTGGAGGCCAATGTCTAAATACCACACAGGTAAACAGTAAATGCTAAATTACCCTAGGATGACTTTAGTCTTTCTGATTTATCCCTCAGAGTGTTCCATCCAGAGTTCCAGTCTTTCACCCAGGTGTTCCGAGTACTCATATAATCTTTAGATAAAAATCAAATGTTAATGTTATGATTAACTAAATGAGTAGGAGAAAAAGTCGTATCATCACTCATTAGTCGACTTAGAAGTGAGGAAAACCAACCAATTTACACACATAGTTTTCAATTACACGAATAGTGAGAAAGTTTAATCAGTAAAGATTGATTTCTTTATTTTCCAAAAAACTAGTCGGTATAGTTCACGTAAACAAACACGTTAGTTTTCTTAAAGTGAGATTATTAGTGGAAGTTGTTATATATCTTTTTCTACTGACTTTTAGCTGGATGTGTAGGTTCACAAATCACATCAGTCAACTTGTTATTATGTTTGGAAGATACGAAGAAATTCAATTTTATTTCTTACAAATTCCAAAATACATTCATTATGAGAAGCTATTAAGTCAATCAAACAATAATTTATCTCAGTACGTTGTTAGCTGAAATAGGATCAGGTTGGAAAAGAGCCGGTGGTGGTCAAACCAAAACATGGCTTCACCAATCAATCAAATCCACAACAGTAAGATTAAGCCAGCCACGTAGGGAGTTGCAGACTGCCAGATTAGTTGGGGTCCTCGGAATGGTAAAAACCAATGAAAGTTGGAGAAAATTGGTGATACGGTCTCAAGATCGTTGTCAATGGCGCAGATGCATCCACTCTTTGTGATTTATAATATCAAATACAATTCTGTTGTTCTTCCATATTACTAATCTTTTTGCCTTATATTTATGTTTATTACCTCTCTTTTGAATCTTTCTCTACTCTTGTCTTGTTTTGTGCTAGATGGAGTGCGGCAACTCGAACTGTTGGATGTCTGTGCAAAGCTCTACCTTGAAACCAGTGTCATACGTTGCCTTACGTTTTAATAGAGAAATCTTAAGAAGAAAGAGACGAACAATATGAAACATTACCTGAATGATGAGATTCGATCTTCAAGTTCTTGATCGAATGTCACGCTTGCTGTGCCAAGTTTTTCTTCTATCATTTGCTTTGTGCACTTTAATGTATTTACACTCCAATGTTTTAAATGTTCCAGCCGATTTTGTAAGTTAACGTTGTTACAAGACTCAATTGGTCCTACTTGGAAACTTGAGATACCTGAATCATAAAGAAAAATGAAACAATACAACTAACCATCATTACGTGACATTGGTGACACAGAACTGTTGGTATTGCTGTTGGCACCATGTTTAGGATGATCCAAAGCACTTTTGCAAGCACCGGTATCTTCTTCGTAACAGAGAGATGGAGGGTTAGACGGCGCTGTCGTGTAAGGACTGATGCTATCTGCTTTCATCTAGTCGCATAAACTACAATGAACAAAATCGGCAAAATAATACGCATAAGCTAAAAAGGCCACTAAAGCTAACAGGGCTTTAGTTATAACCATGTCTGTCTGTTTTCGACATAGAACATGTACCAATACAGTAAAAAAAATATACAATTTCAATCTCAAGTTTAACAATACATGATTACGAACGCTAGAATTTGCCTAACAGAAACAAGAAAACTAGAACCGTAGTAATTAGTTACCCTGGTGTGTGGCAGAATAGTAAATCATATAGACTTCCAGGGTGTGAACCCCTTGTTTATACCACAATATAAAATCGACTTAACCACCATTGTTTCTTGAGCTCTGTTTTATTAACTTTACATGGTGCCGATGTAACGTCTATACATCGCCGATTATGTATTTGCGACTCCTGATATTTTGAAACTAAGTTGGAAAACCAACGCCAATAATTCCAAATTGAGTACACCTTGTCAAACCGAATTTCGAAGCGTTAGGCAGCGTATATGCCTCAAACATACGTGATGCGCGTATAAGCTTCAAATGTGACATTTTGTTAGGCCTCATCACGGCTTTACCTTAATGTGAATGGGTGTTTCCACAATGACTGCAGTTGTAACAGGTTTATCGTATAAAGTGAATGGTTGAGGTTAAACAAGTTATTTGCAAGAAGAATGTAGAAGTAAGAAATACCGATAAATTCGTCAGTGAATGATAAATGCTAGGAATAAAAGTTTATTACTTTGAACTTCACTTAATTACAATATATATTTACACGCTACCACGACAGTTTATAAGCACTTTTTAGATCAAAAAAGATTTTCAGCAACGTGGGAACAACAACTCCGCTAGCAGACATTGTAGAGAGCGGGATAACTATCTGAAGTCTGCTCTACAATCCCTCAGGCCACCCGAAGACCGTTCCAAAATCTCTGCAGTGTACCCAAAGTTAGTGCTAGATGGGAATTTTTAAGATTTGAAATGCCAGCAGAATGTAAGGGTAGTCATCACTCAAACAGATGTCTTGCTGCAAAATTGACGCGAAACTGTATATTGAGAAAAAATATGGGCGAAGTATGGTAAAAATGGTCAGTTAAATGCCCTAACTGAAGCAGGACCCAATGGGATATTTGTGCAGACAAAATAGCGACATTTCTTGGAAAAGGTGGACATAAAGTGGAAACGTTTTCCAAAGGGAGATATAAACCGACGATACGCAACAAAAATATTATGATATTTTTAAAGTTGGTAATAAGGCGAAGAAGGAGGTGATAATCAGACAATAAGGGGACATGAAGCGACAAAAGGGGCATAATGGCGACAAGCACACCACAATATGAGAGGAGGGGACATAATGCGCCATCAAGGAAGAGTGGGGTATAACGCCAAAATCCCTTCAATTCCCATTTATTGTCCATTGAGCATCCCACTTTTGAGCCCCTTTCAAACGCTCTGCTCCTCATGAGTTGAAACTCCGAGTTTCAACTCATTTGTTCTTGCCCACTTCTGCGAGAGGTTTGTTCGACAAAAAACAAACGAACAAAAGCATGCTTAATTTTAATATCGATTCATCAGATATAAAGTGGATATCTTAAGCGAACAATAAAAAATAGTAACACTAAACAAACAACCTAGAGACCAAATGTAACGTACATATCCAATATACGCGGGGGGGTGCAGAAGTTATTATCAATATCCAACTGAATTTGGAAATAGGAAACCAGAGTTTCATCCCGTTCTATCTGTAGTACACCAAAAAGCATCTAAACGAAGGCATCTCCAATACTTTCATACATTTCGCGATATATATATGGTGGATACTGGTAACTTTCCATCTGGTGGACCCATATTCGATATGTATTCAGAGCCCCGTCCACCTCCTTTTTTTGGCCGCTAGCAATATACCTTCTTTACCGTGTACGGATTCCGAACATTCGAATTAATGATTCCTTAAAGCTACAGGTGGTTGAAAATATTAAGCGCCTTCTACACACAAGGAGATATATAGCAAAGTGTGAACATTCATATCTCTGAGTCGGGAGCAGATGCAGTTAACATGCGTTATCAAAAGTAAGACACTATGTAAAAGCCAGCTAAATAAACATATAAACGAATGGGTAGGGGGAGAAAAGTAGGACATTATCTCTGTTAAATAGTAAGAAGTATGCTTATAAGTGGTCATTAGATTTGCTGACAGCCAAGTATACTCTTGGCATATAGAAAACACCATACGTACAACGGAGGTTTCCGTAAGTTCATTACAGGGCACGAATATAAAAATGTGTTTTGTGGTCTTCAGCATCACCTTTTTAATTGACATGCTGCCCCGTAACGTGACAATTTTCAACAGTCATCCGGCATTTTACTTGACGACATCACAGAACGCATATAAAAATATGGAATTCACCTGAAGAAAGATCTCTCCTTAATCTTACCACTTACCAGCTGCTAAGTAAAGGATATTAACAGGCTGCAGAAGACTTGCTGTACTACACTACCCGCTTTATCAGTAGTTAATCTGACTAGCTATCTTCAAAGACTAAGCAAGTAAGTTTAGAAAAGCATTATAACTAAATCAGCTGGTTGTGGATAAATGTCGATTAATATCTCCTAAGACATTATTAGCCCGAAGACTTTATCAGTCGATATTGAGTATTGAATTCCGCTGTTTATGTCAACCGGCTAATCTAGTTGATACCCACATAATCACCAAAATCATTTGGAAACAATACCGAATTCTGCACAGTTAATCCAGTCTAAGCTGATTATTTTTAATTCGGTTGTATTTCGGTGTCAGAAAGGCCCTTAGCAAATCTGTTTTAGATATAGCCTCTGAGACTAACTGAGTTCTCAGTATAAATCATCATATTCCATATAGATCACTTAAGTATTATGAAAACAATTCACGGATGAACTTTCAGTAGCAGAAAAGTACGGGAGGAAGAAAAAGTACACGAAAAATACTGAGGATTAAATGGGCCTGAGAGTTGGTAAGAGGCGAAATTATCTGTGCTACTGAGAACGGCATTCATTCAAGGTAACCCCAAGAGAAGCTGAACGTCGTTTACTATATGAAAATTGTTGAGGAGCTCCCTGGTAAGCAAAATGATTACAGGAACTTGCGATGTGTTTAAATACAGTTGTGTGCTGAAAATTTTGAGAATTCTAAGAAATTGGCTGGACATCAATGAGACATAAACTCAATTTCTTACTTAACTTCGATGTAATTCAGTAACTGTTCGGGTATTTTATTTTCCACGGTGGAGATATAGGTTGAATATCCCACTCAACTGCTAGCCTTTGGGCACATTCAGGCAAAATTTTAATAAATCACACTGGAAATATCAAATAATCGTTCTACGCATATATCTGTGCGATTTGTGGCTGCCAAAACCAGAGAGTAGCTATCTTAGCAATGTGACTCTTCCTAAAGTATAAATTCGTAATTTAAAGGTAAACGTATCCACACCTAGAAAAAGGTAGACGCCTGCAGAAACGAGAAGTTTAGAATATCAGTATCGGATGTGGAGTCAGGAGTACGGAGGCTGCTAAAACCAGACTTGATATTTTAAGCTGTCTGTTACTTAGGCAAACGAGCTTACTCTTCGAAATAGTTAGGTGACGTCAAACCAACGACACGCAACAGGCGTGAACGCACCGATAACTTTCGAAAACTTATTCAGTAAAGTATTGAAACCTGGTAAAAAAACAACAATCGCTTCACGAAAAATTGTTGCATGTAGCGTTATTGAAAGAATATCAAGTTAGGTTAGGGAAAGGGTGAGTTTAGTTTTAGCCTTAAGACAGGTCAATGTTAATCTTGCTGTGTTGTGATACAGACAATGTGTTCCAACAGAACTTTATTTTCACATATTCCCACATTTCAATACAGCATTAGCAACAAAATACTATGTATATCTATTTCAAAATTATGTTTGTTACTAGAGTCAGAATATTATTCCCACAGTTCACTACTGCGTTTGCAACAGAATAATATATACATTCAAATGTTCTATTTAATGTCATTTAATGTAAACCAGAATCACACGTTCAATGACTGGTTAGAGAATACAAAACTGAATATGTATAAATAGCGCTTTGATCACTTGAAAATATACCTTGACTTCCATGTCTTGCTTTCTGTTGTTGCATTCTTACCTGATTGGGGAGATGAAGAGCTGTCTTACAGCAGATTGAGCGTAAACCAGGATTAGGGTCCGTTTATGTAAAGGAAAGGTTAAGGATGATTCAAAGAATCAAATTTGCCTTCCGGTGATAAGGCTCTTCTCAGGGTCATTCGTGCATTCGCGCCCAAATTTCAAGGCTCTCCAGCCTGATGAGCTAGTTTATTTAACGATTAACCGGTCATTCAGTCTAATAGCCTAATGAAATCCAGAAACGTTGCATCCAGTCAGATCGAACAAACACAGTGAGTGGTGTTATTTGTACCAAAATGGGTAGTAGTTTAACCTTAACAATGCATTGAAGGACATTCGTGCGCTTTTAGAAAGTTAGATTTGCGTACCCAATTTTGAATAGATCACTAAATAAATATGCACTCGTTGACTATCAGATTAACTCAGTCCATTTTGTGAACGAGGTGAATATTCATTAGCGCACCACTTGAATACGACGTGCTTTTTCCTCTCTAACAGGAAAATAGCTACTTTTTGAATCATCCGCCTGGGAAACCTGTTCTTCCTAGCTGGTGAAATAAATTCAACCATTACTTTCATTTCAAATATCTGTGTGGTAAGTCCAGCTGGCTCAAACTAGTGCAAAAGTTTCAGGTGTTACATCTGTAGCAGCGTCTTCCCCACTCGTTCAGATAAACAAAACTTGTCGCTCTGCCACGTGATGACTGTTAAGCCGAGTAACCGAAAAGTACTAGGTAAAGTCGAAAGCCTTTTATTCTCCTTCTCTTGCACTATATCATTCTTTTGTTCTTGTTCTACTGGGAATATACTGTTGCTAACTCTTGTTCATATATAGGCATAAGTTACAGTAACTGTTAATATGGTGGTTGAAAGTAGCCTTAGAAAAGAACTAAAACACCGTATTCTGCAGTGACAAGGGCTTCAGTTAGAGGAGGCAATAACACGGGGACGTCAGCCCATCTCGCACACAGATTCTAAAGACCCGTGCACGTATCGCCTGCTCTGATACTTTGCCTATCTTGCCACAGTCTAGTATTGAAAGTGTACAGGCAAAACCAAGTGGCATGATACTACACCTATGTCCGCAAGAAGCCAGTGTGTAACAACAGCAAAATGAAAACGAAAAGCTCAAGACATCATAAGATCTCGAAAGCATCATATAGAAACGAAGTTGAATGTTAGGCCTTTAGTATTGTAGTTTCTAAAACTGACTCCGCGTTCGAATGCAATTTTTTCAAACGATGGGTACACTGCAGTTGGGCAGCCTGTAGACGGACGTAGGTCATTTGATCAGCTGATGGATATTGGCGTTATTTATTGGAAAAACGTCAAGGTCAGGTCATTTTTCGTTGTTTTTCACACTTTTCTACCTATATTCCTGCTAAAAGTGGATGAAATGCGGCCTATTTAGCAGAAAGAGCATATGGTGGTGTTCTTATCCGGACGTAGGTCACAGGCAGTTTACAGTTTCTTGAAAATAACGTATTTTTCCGTTCAGAAAATGTCTAATTACTTGAAGAAATATGTTATAAAGACTTTTTGTGAATTTATTTTGCAGTTTAATGGATTACACATGGACATGATGAGGTGGGATAGCTCGTTTTGGTAATTATTTCACTTACTTTGTTGTGTACTTTGCGTAAAATGCTGACAAGGCTCCTCCACATGTATTTCCTTAATAAAAATCTGCAGAAATACATAAAAATTATATATGCATAGTATTTCCTTATTTGATGGCATAAAGTTGATGTTAGCAGGCAGATGGAATATCAACTTTGCATTATTGAAAAATGTTGACTAACATAATTATTTACAGTTGAAATCATTATTTTGTCATTTTAAGCATATTTAATGGTTAATTATTGTGTTTACACTGATAACAATGTCTACATCTGTATAATTCTTATGTTCTTTTTCAGATAATATCTACTTTCGGGAATTTCATGGATTTGGGTGATAAAGAAAAAGATACCTGCACTGTTGTCGATTTTGTATTACATGTTAATTCATTAATAAATGTATTCCTTGTTATTCGTTTGTTTATTCTACTTGATAAGACCGAATATTAGCCCTTGCGTAATTTGTGAGGTGTAGAGTATATGAGGCTATCTTTGAAATACTAAGTAGGAGCAGATATTCGGAGAAGCCTATTGGTAAAAGATTATGTTGTAGTCAAATAAAGTAAATATGTCTGAAGTGTAGAGGAGGTATTGCGATTATAAAGCGTTTCGAGTTATCTATCGTCTTAGCAGAATACATATACTGATTCGCGATTCATAGTCACAAAGTGAGAGTAAATCTACCTGAGATAGTTTGCTTGTGATTTCTGCATGCCGCAGTATACCATAAGGAGAGACTATACCTATGCTGTTAGATGTATGACTCAGTGCAACTACGGTTATCGTAATAATTAAAAACAGAATGCCTAGGGTTCTCAGCCAAAGAACACGATACGTTGCTATCTGCTCATATAATCACGTAAACAAAAGTTTTCCAGACGCCGCATTTACTCCTAACAGTTTACCCTCAACTTCTAACTTAGCACGTGCTACTTATGTTACTGGAACACAATCGCATTACAACAGAAGGAAGACAGATTCATTGAAAAATTGTTTATTAAACAAAAATCAGATTTCAAATGTACAGATAATTCAGATGAGTAGTCCTCTGTTACCGTCAGTAAGTTCCATCTGCGTACACGGCATATATATGTTTTTCCATAAGTCTGAAAAGGTTTAAGAAAAGCATAATTAACTTGGGTATTACATGTATGATCTGAATAAAAAATTTTCCTGATAAGCATTTACAAGTAATCACTTTACAAACAATATATATATAAGTAGCCCAATAGTTTTCACTAAACTTAAGGGACTTCGCAACTTATCGTTTGTCGATATCTAGTAGGTCCATCGAAGCATCATGAAATGATAAAATTATTTAACGACAAGTTATGCAGTAGTTTTCAAAGCTTGTACAAATATTTTAGCAAAAATGACAACAACTTTATGACAAATAATAGGTCTTGACAGCAATAATAATAACATTCATGTTCATAGTGACTATAAAAACAATAATAGGTATTATTATCGCAACGAATTCATCATTAACTTAGATAGACAACTGATAACAATACAATCATATCAAATAAATGTATCACTTAATCTTAAGAAGCATGTGTTTACTTACTTTCACTGTATTCTCTCAATACTGATGTGCTCAACAAGCTTATTCCAACTGAATTTAAGATTAATTCTGAAAGTGAGTGGAGATCCAGTTTATGTCAAATAAAAACATGTAACTTACATGTATTACACTGCTTACTGAGACATCTGGTACCTGCTTTCCGATCTTCGTGACAAGAACAGAGTTTATCTAGGTTTACCTACATATACAAAAGTATACGTATATGCTGCATCAACCATGCCGTTTTTATCATGATTAGCCAGACCACTGTGTATATTATACTTATTTAAGGATCTCTGAAAATAATGGTCAAGCGATAATTGAAGTTGCGTGAAGTTATTACCTCTTCAAGACATTGTTTGCATTCTTGACACTCCTGAGAAGTCCTTAGATCGTAATTTGGCATGAATTCGTTGAATTCAGCAAATAAATCCACTGCTATATCATTTCTTTCCTGAGCTGTAATAATTTGTGTTGTCAATTATCTCTTCAATTTGATAAAACGCTCACGGAAATTCAGGACTTAACCAAGCAGCAAAATGATGTTTGAAATTACCTCAACTCGAATGACAAACTGGCCAATCACAAGCGAGCGAATCGCTTGTTTATCTCATTCGCGGTCACTCAAAATTACGTCCGTCGACAGGCTGCCCTGCAGTTGTGACGAAGGGGTGCCAAAACCATAGTGTCATTTTATGCAAAATAACGTGTTCCCCGTGACTCTGGTACATTTACCCACTTTGTCGCCCTGCCATAGTCTCACACAGTGTGTCACCAGATAACAGAAACAGCACGCGGCATTTCTGTCTCGATACAGCTTAATGCAATCCTCCATCTGACAACACTACATCACTGACAATTGGTAAAATTCGTAAGAAGGATAGTCCAACCGACTGAGAATATCAATCTTCATAAACCACTCACAAGGTTACACCTGGGACAACAGGGGAGGATGAAATCACCAAAGCACCACTTGCATAGCATAAATTGGTCAGAACCTGATGGAATCTCAATTGACTGACCTCGCAAAGGAGGACAAGCAGTCTGAAACCAAGCCTAGGTCTGAGGTCAGTCGATTGAATACTGTTTAATGTACCAGTGTGCAGTGATAGTTTGCTTGAATAAAGGGATCTGTTTGATCAGGAAAAGTGGTTCAATTTGAGCAATAAACTAGGATTAAACATCAATTGGGAAAATTTGTGTAGGCTGCACAATGGTTTTCAGGCGTCTGAGGGTAAGCTACCTCCATTAGGGGTGACATTGGGCTCTGTTGAAGAGACTGAAAGGATACTATTACTGTCTCAGAGACTAGCTTTCGACAGGAGTTCGAGTAAAGGAGTGAGACATGATAGGCCATGGGTTAACAGGCAACTGGCGAGGGAGTCACCGGAACTGATACCTTCTACTTGTATGGTCATACACGGTGTTCCGGAGCTGGAAACTGACACTTCTTGTGAAAAACATATGCGCGACGTAAAGACTCGAATCCACCCCCATTTCTTTATGATGCTAGTTTGCCGTGCCTGAAACTCCTTACCGACAGATTTTTTTTTGATTTACAGCTTGATTCCACACTGTATTTTTGGTACAAGTATGGAATTTTCAGCATGGATATCGGTAGCCCAAATTTTGCAGGCCGACCATAGATATCAGGTGTGCGCCGGCGTGGGCTCGAACCCCGGACCATGTGCATGGTCGGCGAGAGTCCTAACCACTGTGCCACCGAAGCACAGTCTGTGGATAGCTTCAGGCAAAGGCGGTGCAATCCCGTAGTGACACAAGGACACTATTAGTGGGTGGACATTCAAAATCCTCGTTTAACTTCTTCACATTCTCTCTTGTCTTACTCTTCTGACTACTCCAGCTACTACACTTACACTTATTATTGGTGTTATATATATATATATGCAACTTCCCAAATAAGTGAATTGTTCAACACACCCCACCAATCGTTTCACTCCCTATCTCTAAGCTAGAAGTCAGTGTAGACCAGTCCATTTCTGTAGTATCATCTGTGCATTCTGTCAGCGTCTTCACCTTGGAGGGAGGACTATACTGGCTACATACTCCAAGTCAATGAGACTATTATTCCCCGATGGTAACAAGTCACTGAAGTCAGTTAGGGTTGAGTCCATTAATCCAATATCTGTGATGAAATGAGATAGAAATAGGGACAGTGGGCATCCCTGATGGGCACCATTAGTTGTCACCACTTAAGATGACAACTCGCTGTAACTTCTCACCTAGCTGCATGAATTCGGGTAGAGTACCGTGATCAGTGCTATGTATTTTCTCGGTGTTCCCTTTTCAGCCAAGCGTCGCCAGAGTACTTCTCGTTCGACAGAATCGAATGCCGCCTTTAGGTCAAGAAATATGACGATTTTTGGACGTTGGTTAGTATTCCTATGTTCCAGAGTATATCAGAGGGTGAAGATTTGACCAGTACACCTTCTTCCTGGTCTAGGGATTGCCTGGTTCTCGCGTTTGTTCCTCCCGAGAACCTACAAGTCTATGCGTGTTTATTGAGCCTAGAACTTTAGATACCATATTGGTCAAGCTAATCCCCCGGTGATTATCACAGGAAGACTTCTCTCCCTTCTTGTATTTTGAGGTAATCAATGAGCAAGTTAGTAGATTCTAGTTTTTCTTAATATCCACTCAGTTCAGTTTCCGATTCTAAGTGTATAGGTTCATAGCATCTAGGACAGATATTGGGTCATATTATAACTGATGAATTAACAACTGAAACGACTAGTATAAATCAACTTTATCCAGAGAGACTTATTTCTAAGAAAAACGAAAGTAAAACATCTTTCTATTCCCAACCCAAAATCCATATTGATTTTTGAGGAGTGCTACTGATTACAGTGATATTTAGATTTCCGACTTCATTAAATACAGACTGCAAGATCTTGGGAATCTCACTGTAGTATTGCCTTAATGGGTTAATTTGTATATTGCTACTGCCTGAAGTTCATGGGGTATTGGAGATATGTAAGAATTTAACAGACGAGAGTTAAAACTAATAAAACCTAATGTCATTGAAAAGTTTGTGCTTTGCGGAAAAGGTCGAACTAATTATAATTATATTTCAGTAGTTTACACGCAAACCCTGTGATCACACCGACGGTTGGAATTATTTTTTTTTAATTCTAAAAAAACTAGTCCACTTTACACATACCACTTAGTAACTTTTCTATTCTTTCGAAATATCACACATCCTACGTTCTTATGTGCATCTTGACCACGACTCAGTCATTACACTATTTATCTGGATATGTAACTCCATCACTTAATCTCCCTTACGTACTGGTTAATACTAACACCTATGCTTATGAGAGTTTGTCTCTTTAGTTACTATTCCCTTTGGTGGAAAAAAACTGTATATAAATGCAGTTGTACCACTAAAGAAAAGGAAATCGATGGAAAGAGTCTCTTCACCGAGCTACTTGTTTTGTTTCCCATAGATGCTTGCTTGGATGGGGATTACTCATCACTTGATCAAAAAGCAAATAAAAAAGTATAAGATGGTTGAAGGCGATCGGCAGGAAGACTTGGACCCAGGTTTCGTGCTAGTTGGCACTCATCAGCAACCTTGAGGGAACTCATTTCCCTCCTGAGATTCGAATCCGCGTCACCTAGTGAGAGCTGCAGTCAGAGACGTTACCACTGAGCTATTCGGGCTCGCGACTGACTTCCTCGCGAGGCTTCCTGCCGATTGCTTCCAACCATCTAATATCATCAAATCAATGTGCACCGTAATGCCTAGCTACCTACAATGGTGGCCACATTACAAACCTGGCTGATAGAAAGAAAGGACCAGACACATCACACTAGTTACTAGTGTGCAATCAAAAAAGTATATTTACATTTTATATCATTATCAGTGAGTTCAAATTAAAATTAAAGCACTATAAATAGATCAGAAAATCAAAATATGAAGAATAAGTGATTAAATCCCATGATTTTTCAGTCAAACAGTTTTTTTTTTGAGGAAGACAAAGCCAAAATGTCACTTGATGAAACAATGATTAATTTTAACCCCAATTGATAAGAAGCATTATATGTATTTATAACATTTCTGCTTATTAGGTGGGATACGTGTCTTAAAAAGAAGTGAATCAGCTCTGTATTGACTATATATAAGAGGATTATAACCATAATGATTTGTCAACCAATTAATGCACCGGGATCGGGAGTTATAATGGTCAGGACGGTCATGTAGAGTAGATCCACAGTAAATGCAGTCGAACGACCAGTGAAGAGTAACCTATTAACAACAGAAGAAGACAAAAAAGGTGAGTTAGTACATTCAACAGCTACACTCAATCAGTTCAAGACAATCACTTAGTAAACGTACTTCATATCATTTACAAGAACTATTCTTTTATGAAATGTAGAGGTTAAGTATTATACGAGATAAAAATAAAAACAAAACCTGAAGTCTTGTATAGCAGAAGATAATAAATATGATAAGTTCTGTGAGAGCGAAAAATTGTCAATAGAGTGAAAGAGAGAGAGAGAGAAACAAATGACTCGTAAAAACGACTCTAACATGATGAAGCAATGCCCTCGGGGTGGAAGACATTGGACCAAATAAGCACTGGGAAAAGAGATCTATACCCTGGTATATATATATATATATATATATATATATATATATATATATATATATAGGGTAGTTTGTGGTTATACGCAGACAATTCTCAGGGATTCTGGCTGTATTCTGTTATTAGAAACATTATGAAAATAATTATTGTTCATATGTTGATTGTAATTTTCACTAAGTGCCTGAGTATTGGACCAATGAATCTCGGTAATTTAAGGATAGTTGCAATTCGTACTCCAATTATTGATATCTCAGATGTAAAATAAACAAGGAAAAGGTCCTGGGTTCAAAACCCAGTTGGTGCGTACTAATGATGAGTTATAAACTAGGACAAAACAGCCGTCCACTACTCTCTGGTGTTCAGTGATTCTCTTACTGATATCAATCCGCGGTCAAACTCGAAAAACAAATCAAATCCTTAGAAATCAACTCTAGAAAAACAAGAAGCTTTAATAAGGCTCAATAAAAACACTACTTAGTGCTGTCAACTGTTTGTCAAACACATTAAGCGGCCAAAACGAAAGAAGTGTCGTAACAGTTGAAACCATTAGATATGACAGAGAAAGAGATAAAGGGTTTCAATGGAACCAATGACTGCACATATCGAATTTTCAGACGCTTCCGTATGAATGAAAACGATTATTTGCTAATTTTATGTTACAGCAAAAAGCATCTTGAAACACAATTTAGGCGAAAAAGTAAATCAGCAGTGAAAACACCCATGCACTACGTGATCAAGTGTAGCAACAAGTACAACCTACTGGGGAATGTGATATTATCACTCAACTCTAGAATGTAATCAAATGTCATAGGAACTACCACAATAGGAATATTTGAGACATTCAGTCTTTTAAATCAAACTTGGTTTGGTTTCTCAAAGAAAACGGAAAAGGACAACCCACTATCTGTAAAAAAGAAGCCTCTTTATATACGACTACAATTCATGGGTGATATACCAAGCGAGATAATTGCGAAGAAATTAAGAAAATCAGTTCAAAGAACTTTTAATGCTGGCGTCTTATTCTATACACGATCGATAGTGATTCCTCGACTGATAGATGAAGTACCTAGACTAGCCACTTCTAATTGTATCTATCAACTCAACTGCGCTTGTGGAGCCAGTTATATTGGCCGTTGTTCTGGGAACTTGATTTTTCGTGCTCGAGAACATCTCCCAGCATGGTTAAGTAAAGGCGTAGTGAAAACTATTAACAGCTCGATATTGGAACATCTGGTGCAAACCGGCCACAAAGCCAGCGTAGATGAATCCTTCTCTATATTATACCGGGTGCCAAATAAATTACCTAAGACATCGAAGCACCGCAGGCTCCAAACAGCAGAGGCTATTGCGATTCGCCTCAAACAACCAGCGCTCTGTATCCAAAAGAAGCAAGTCTAGCCCCTACTATTGCCCTGGCCCTCAGTAGAAACTATACACTCATGAATTTGTACTATTATCCTTCCTAATTCTTCTGACATTCAGCTTATTTTATGTTGATGCGATTCATCTGCAGTCTATCAACATTATTCACTCAATGTTATTTAAACATTAATGTCGTTCATAACACTAATTCATTCATTCACTATAATGTATGTATAAATGTAGAGCTTGATGATGAATTTATCGCAAAGAGTACTCTTTGTTTAGTATTCATTCTTTTCTCAAAGTAGTCAATTACTATCATCCTGGTATTTCATCAGTACTACAATTTATAAGAAAATCACAGATACTAAGTGGTAACTAATTATATGCGTCAAGTCCCTTTTTTAGTGCATTTAATTCTACTAGTCAAGTTCGCAATGTGGCCCCAATGCTAGGTGGGACTCTGAATTGCTGTTATTAGATAGTTAGAAGCAATCGGTAGGAAGGGGCATGAGCTCCTCCAAGATTGCCAATGCCAACAAGCACATAACTTAGATCCAAACTTCCTGTAGATTGTCTCCAACCACCTGAAAAAAAATCACAAATGAATATCAGTGATTCTCTCCAGTTTGGTAATTATTCTCCAAACGACACCAGCAATGTTTGGTTAATAGATATCACAACTAGTAATAGCTATAATGAAGTAAAATATCAAACGAGTGATAAACACTTGTGATTAGTGGTAGTAGCACACTATCTAACTTGCAAAATACTATTATGCAAGTGATACCGTACTAAAAGTTGACCACTTGTTATTATACGTATAGTTTTTCAAAACTATTCATTAAGCAGAATTAACGGATACCTATGAAATAATCAAAAGTACACCCTGCTACCTATTTTTCTCCCAAAACATCTACAGTAATCGTCTGTTTAAAAAAATAGAGAAGCAAAAATGAGCGAATTATTATTATTGTTTCCTTGGGTTCCTAGTAGAACATAGGGCTTCTACTGCACGTCTCCACTTGATTCCGTCTTCCTTCTGTTGTACTTTTCACCTGCATTCATGCACGTTAGTCCATACTTTTTCAACTCCTCTTCACATGATCTCCTCCATGTCACCCTTGCACTGACGTCCCACTTGCCGCTTCCCTTTCGGCCTGGTTCCACGCGAGCAATGGACTGACGCGCGCGCCATGTCACCCAGTGGCCTCCTCAGCCACGAGTGTCCAATCCATCTCCACTTTCTCCTGCATATTTGTTGGTTGGCGATTGGTTCTTGCTTTGTTTGTTTGTTCCCATAGTTTCTTGTTAGTGATTGATTCTTTCCGGCCCGGCCCGGCCATCCAATCTTCAGTATAGAGCGAAGACAGTTAGTTGTTGATGAAGGTCTGCAACAGGCTGTTGGAAATATTCTTTGTGACCCGCCCACCAAGTTTCTCATCCGTATAGAACAACTGACTGACTTGACGTGTTTGTATTGTATTGAAAATCCGACCGAATTTTGTTGTTGATGCTGGCTGAGTGACGAGGATTTCCAGATTGGTTTCAGGTTGATGAATGTGTTTCTCGCCTTCCCGCCGATTCTCGCTCGATTTGACATCCTCGTCCGTTCTGACTGCCAGTAGTTGAGACAATGCTCCCTAGATAAGTGAATGAAGTGACCTCTTTCAAATCAAATGAGCGAATAGATAGATACAAATAATGCTAAGAGATTATAGCTTACTTTAAGGGGAGGTTTTCTGGTTATATGAGCAATAAGGAAATTCATCGCTATATCTTCACAATTGAAATAGCTATCCACCATGTTACGAATATCCAATGACATCTCCCATGTATACGCAAATGTATAATACTAAAAATCATAAAATGAAGTAAACATTTATTGATGAATAGTAGGTGGATTCCACTTAAAGAAACACTTTTATGCCAATAAAACAAAATATGAAAATTTATCTCTTTAGCCCATAGTAAGGAAGCTCGTAAGAATGTCAATGTCATTGTTGAATAAAAAGACGATTGAAAACTACAAAATCAACGGGAAAATATGAAAAAAGGTTGAAAGATGTTTGAAACTATTCTATCTGTACTAAAACCATTTAGTGCTTAAAACATATTGGAATGTTAATAAACTGATCAGTAAGACTAAACTTCGACAGAATAACATGTGGTAAATATCTGTGGAGTCAGTCCGTCTTTTCATGAACCACTGGTGATAATATCGAGATATTCGCCCACTTGAACTCATCTCAGAGAATCACCTGAACAGTCACCCTTCAGCTTCAGGTATATTCCACCATTAAATAAGTTACTATACTTAGAATAGGGGTGTTAAATTTTAAGCACCAGCGTAAAATTCCTAATAAAGTTTAAGTCAGGCTTGTATTTAAATCAACGAAGTGACTCAAACAAAGTCGGTAGGCTTACGGATCCAAATTACCCAATTAGACACAACCACAGAACTAAACAAATACCATGTAACAACTATGAGATCAATTATGTAGGTAAAAACAGGAAATAAAGGTCAGTTGGGCCATCAGAACAAAGGAACTTGGCTAGATCTACAATGAGAGATCCCACAAGGCTAAGTAATCGAGAAAAAAGCTAGGCAATTGTTATGCATGTGATTGTATATAATCCACACAGTAGGGTAGTAAAAGTAATGCAGTTACTTGGAGAGAAAAGAATCTGAACATCAAGTTATGAAGTGTACCTTACGAGACTTCAGAAGATGACTTCATCGAATAGTTGAAATGAAACATTTCATTGTATTTTAAAATGAGAAGAACTCATTGGTGAACTTAATTCATACACAATAGGAGAAATAAGAGTTGATGAACTTAATCAACCTGGTAGTGAACTGTACTGTAATCAAAAATTAAAAAGCAACTTCAGGGACATAAAACAGTCGACATCGCCTCCAAGTGAAGTGTTCAAGAAGACTAAATATTTCTTTTCAAACTGAGTTTAACTCATTTTTTCTCGAATAATACAAAAAGTGAGACTAGATGAAAAGCAATGCCTAGCACTCATAAGGATACATGAGTATAAAAAATGCATGAGAAACCAGTGGAAGATACTTGGTGCTAGGGTGAAGCAGGTCCTCTGGTAGTATTTCTCCCCACCAAAAAAGACTCATTATAAAAAATATGTTGAGTGGATTCCATGCAAAATGGTGAAAGCACAATAGTTAAATAAGATTAAAAAGCAATGAATCAGCCAACATGTACTACCGATGAATCCACTGAGTTTGTTAACAGAAATACACATTTTAACAAAAATCAATGTAGTTATGATAACTAGTAGACGTTTCTAGAATATTAATTAATTCGTTTAAAATACCAAAGTTGCATTCTTTGAGCTGGATGGTTTAACTGCGAAGGGTTTATTGTCTATCTAGATATCTTTAGTATTGTTTAATTCAATTCCATTGCTAGTCACCACCACCCACGACCAACTGACTTCAAGTTACACCACCAGACATCATCGGAGTATCTGCACTAGGAGCCGATATGTCAACCTGAGACTGAGCACTTCGTTTCAATCAATCGACTGGAAAATCTAAATTGAATTAAGTAACTAGTAAGACCCGTTGCATAAAAGGTCGCTGTCGTAGCCCAGGTGGTCTAGTGGATAACGCTTTGGCTTTTGTAACCATGGGAATTAGGTTCGAGCCTCGGTGGGAACACCATCATTCAACAAGGATTGCAGGTACATTCAGCCGAAGAGACTCAAACAGGACGAAATGAGCATCCTAGATTCCACTGCTAGTCACCATCTACCGAGTGATCTTTAGTAAAGCATTATGGCTGAATGAACAGCGTTACCCGATAGTAGTATGAACGATTTAGAAAACAGTAAACGGTCTGTAGGACAGAATACTTTGAGTACGTTAAGCTAAAAGAACAAAAAAATGGTTATTGTTCACACACCCAGTTCTTTTGGTAGGCTCAGTGAACAACGCTTCGGTATTTGAGATGAAGGATACTGGGTTCGAGCCCCAGTGGAAACGCTATCAGAGTGGGGACAGAAGTAAATCCAGTTGGTGACTTCCAAGCAGAAAGAAGCATGCATCCTGGATTCCACTACTAAATACCACCAACTGGATGATTATATTTTAGAATATTAATGATCCCGAATGTCAGATTCGAAATATTCAAAGATTATTGTCCATTTTACTTTGCCAACCATAAATATAATAATTAACTGTCACACTAAGAACTACAAATTAAAAATTAACACTTTAAAAAATTTGTCCCCATAAACATTAAGTGATCATGTCTACGATTATGAATAAATTCTAAAAAAAATATATCCAAAATCACTTTATGAAGAAATGCAGCTCCAGTGAGAATCATTGAAAATTCACAAGTATAATCCGAATTATAAAACCATGAACTGTCAGAAGCATTCCAAAAATGTGCTCTTGCTGGAAATCCAACTAACTGATCACGATGTTCACGCCATATACTAAAATCAGAACAAGTTGAAAATAGATGAATATGGGGAGGGATATATAAAAGTATAATGAAAACCTTTGAAATAAAATTATGAGTTTTATATCCCTTGTCGTTGTTATCTTCTCTACACACACTTGTATCAGAGGTAATGATCACTGTACAAAACATTCCAATATGCATATGGTGAAATTTGATATCAAAAATCTACTGTATGAGAAAATATAATGAAAATGGAGTGTCCCAATCATAGTTAATTCTGTTATATTTGTATTTGTTCGATATAACAAATGCATTTTTTCGAAAGACAGCAGCTGAAAAAGTAAGTAATAATATAATAGCAGCTAACAAATTGTGGTGAGAGCCGTCTGATAGCCGAAATTGATAGACAGCAATTTACGTCAGTGTTTGCGCCCCAAATCTTGGTCACGAGAAAAAAACAAGAACAAAGACTAACCCAACAACCAATCACAGCAGACTTTGCGTGGGCGGATACGATGCGCAGATATATCACCAGACTGCCTAAGAAACGGCAACAAAGAGATGACAGAATAACCTTCAACAGGAAAACAACCAATCAAAAGACGTTACCTCTCTGCTAACAATAACGAATAATAATGTACATGAAGATCTATAAATATCTGTTGATTTTCTCAATAAACGATCTATTGCTTGACTCTTGTCTTCTGTCGTTACGATATAGCTCTTATGACTTTCACCTAAAAAAGTTCAGTGCTACAAAGTGGTTGTCAATCTTTATATTTTCCATTAAAAGAAAACTTATGCATTCAATAATTCACCTTAATTTCAGGGTTTGACATTTCCTACTATATACTGACTAAAGTAATCGTCCCGAATACGTGACGGTATTGTTTGGGATTTAATTTCGAGTAAGCACCTATTCAACTGTTTAATTTCTGAGTTTTTGGCCTTTACGGTTTTCAGGCTCATTGTTGAACAATTCCTTAGAAATGAGTTTCACATTACACACACACACACTAATGATATATGACTGCTTGATATCGTCACCTTTATTATTTATTGTCAACATATTTTTACTTTACTATATTTCCACTGATAGGCACCAACATATTTTGCAATTCGTAGAATTATGACTGCCATGGTAGAGGACAATAGGCTTGTTAGAGGAATGTTTATTGGGAACTTGGTATCTCTATATACCGAAATTATGTAAACCTTATCTGAAAGTCATCATTCGCACAGACCTGGCGTGTTGTGCTACTTCTGCCCTTCGTATTACGTTTCTTCGTCTTCTTTTCGTGTTTCCAGTGTTTTGCCACAACGGTGAATCATATGCTCTCTTTGACGTCAAATCCATCTTTCTATTATTTGATATTTTATGCCGATGAACAACTCTTGATATACTACTGATAAGTCTTATCAGTAGCACATGTCATATGACTACAAAGGGCTTTATTATGTAAGCCCTCTTAAGCCCAACCTCGTAATATGTACTTTGATAGTTTATGGTACATGAAGAGTGATTATGAATGAAAAAAAATTGACGACTGGATTTCAGTAGAATAATAAAGAAACTAAAGACAAAAAGAAAGAATAATTGACAATATAAAGAATAAAACTTGTGCACTGTGGTAGAGTGTAATTCCATTATGGGTAAATTTTGTTTTGATAAAGTCTCACAGTGTTATACAGTAATGTTTACTGATGATGTTTGGAGCACAATTTATTGCTCATAATCATATCAAGGTAATCACACGACTTCCTAACTTCATTTATATAGTTCCATTATTTTTCACTTGATTTGATTAGTAGTAGTATTTTCCATATTTCAGGTATGAGTGATGACTCATTCTTATTGCATGTGTTGGATGAAGACTCGATGAACAAGGATTCAGTAATCAACCTCTCCCTCCACCTACCTAGATTACTTTTTAGAATTTCAACCCTCTCCCATCCTATTGTGTGGTTGTGTGTTAATGCATGCAGTGCAATTCCTGAGCTTTTTTCTAAATTACTCATCTTTTCGGGGTCAACCATTCTTACCTTAGCTAAATTCTTATGTTCTGACAGGCAATCTGACTACCCCTGACCTACTAGTCTGACCTACGTAGTTGACCTCACAGTCATTGCAGGGTAGTTTGTAAATTATATTATTTTGTCTAATTGGGTCAACTGGGTCCTTTAACCTACAGAGCTTGTCCCTGCTTTATTTAGAATCCTACGTAGGGTCTCAGATGTACCCTCTTTACATGGTATAACTGTAGATGACTTATATTTTCTCTTATTTAAACTATTAAACTATTATTATTATTTATTAAACTAGTAGGTCAGGGGTAGTCAGATTGCCTGTCAGAACATAAGAATTTAGCTAAGGTAAGAATGGTTGACCCCGAAAAGATGAGTAATTCAGAAAAAAGCTCAGCAATTGCAATGCATGCGCTAACACACAACCACACAATAGGGTGGGAGAGGGTTAAAATTCTAAAAAGTAATCTAGGTAGGTGGAGAGAGAGGTTGATTACTGAATCCTTGTTCACCGAGTCTACACCCAACACATGCAATAGGAATGACTCGTCACTCATACCTGAAATATGGAAAATACTATTACCAATCAAATCAAGTGAAAAATAATGGAACTATATAAATGAAGTTAGAAAGTTGTGTGAGTACCTTGATATGATTATGAGCAATAAATTGTGCTCGAAACGTCATCAGTACACATTACTGTATAACACTGTGAGACTTTATCAAAACAAAATTTACCCATAATTGACAATATTCTGAGTGGATAATTAAAAACAGGTACAAAATTCAAACTATTTTTACTTACTAGTTACGCAAAAGATATGAATTTAAAGCATATCCCTTGATCAATTAGGACAATAGTAAGTACACTGGTCCAGATAACAAGGTAAGTAATTCTGAGATAAGAATTTCAGCGTGAAGTAAATGAGGTAGGTCAGGAATGTAGATGGTAAGTCCTTACGGACTAAAGTATCTAGAACTTGTTACTCGTCTCTAATCACGGCCTTCCCTGATAAGCAATAATGTTTGAAATAGGGTTAGCTCAGAGAACATGACACCAGTCTATGGAGTTTTTGACTATTAGCCTAAGCTGCGCGAGAAAAAGGACGTTCTTCGACTGTGGTCCTTGATATTTAACAAATAAGAGGTTGCGGACTTGGAACAACATGACTTAAAGTCATTCACAAAAGCGCACGTATATGTATTTTCTATTGTCTCCGTAATCTGGAAAATCTCTCCTTAATATTCATTAAATTAATCTTATTTTTCTACTCAAGTTTATTTATTAATCATTGTACTACTTCTGTCCTTTTTTGTGTTCTTCTTAAGCGTGGAGGTTGTGACGAATACAATTATGAGTGAAGTTTCGCGAGATCAGTCACATGTAGCTTAGCGAACAAATGTAGCAATTTCAAGCTATCAAAATTCCTAAAAGATAAAAGCGATGGACAAACAGATGACGTGATAATAATATAAGTTAAAGACTGCTTCTGGTACCTAACTTTACTACCTTGAAGTATTGATATATATATATATATATATATGCCTCAAGTAATGGGATTAGAACAATTACCAAACTGTTTTACTTAAGAGTAACCTATCTATATTAATGGCTAGGAATACAGGACCTTAATCATTCTTCCTATATTTATGTCCCAGGCAATAAAGTCATCGAAATATTATTACATGAGGAATTAACCAAAAACATAAATGAAAAGAGAAATAATAAATCTACTAACCGAAAACCAAAAACAATTTCATCATGACGCAGCTGAATATCATCGTCTATTGATAGTATTGCATCGGTTTCTATCAGATCATAGGGTAAAAATCGATTGTTCAAACTGTTATTTTGACTGTGGATTACCTATTTAAAATAAGAAAACAAAAAAGACGGGAAAATGGTTTGTTTAGAATATGTAGAAGGAAAATATGTAGTTGCTTTAATTAAACGTTCCTAAACTTCAAATTTAAAGAAAAATATTTGTAAGCGTAATGATTCCGAGACGTATTTACAGTTTTCTACACACAAAGTAATTTTCAGTCACCGGCTGATGAAATTGAATCTCAGTAAGGCTATGTTGCAAGTTGTCATCTGTAAGTTATAATTCAATTGACTTTAAAGCAGTGGCCGGATAGCGACGTGTTCAAAGCCTCAGTGAGTTACATGTATGTATTCCAAGTACAAAACGACTACCCAGTACTCCTTATTTTTAATGGTGGACTGGATTATGCATCAGACTATGGGGAGCGAGGAGACAGGAATACGCTGGACCACCGATAAGGAAACTCTAGGAGATCTGGATTTCGCAGATGATATATGTTCGATGTAAAACAAACTCGAAGAATTACAGGCGAAAAGCAACAAATTGGCTAAAAGGCAGCAAAGACAGGATTGCAAGTGAATATAGAGAAAACGGAGGTGATAAAGATAACCAACGAATCGCAACAACAATAATCAGCACCAATCACCATCAACGGGAGAGATTTAACAGATCTTACCTCCTTCACTTATCTAGGAAGCATCCTTTCAACTACAGGCGGTACGGATGACGATGTGAAAGCCAGCCAGAATCGGAAAGGCAAAATACTCCTTCATTAGCCTGAAACTAGTTTGGAAATCTTCTGCACTGTACTTAGTATAAACAATAAGATTCGGATTTTCAAAACAAATGTTACGCCTGTTCCTCTATACGGGTCAGAAACTTGGCCAACGCGTCAGGACAAGCATTTCCAACACACCACTACGGACTTTCACCAACAGCTACCTTCGCCAGCTCCATATTGAAGATGAAATGGTAGGCCAGAATAATAGTAATAATAATCAAAAGAATGGTTACTGAAGAAAGAGTACTCTTTTCGATAACTTCATCATCATGCTCTACAGTTATATATACATAATAATAGCGAATTAAATAATGCTATTAACAACAATAGATAACACATTTCAGTAGCACCAACATAACAATAAACTGAATGTCAGAAAAATTAGTAAAGATAATATTACAAATTCATGAATTTATAGTCTCTACTGAAGGCCAGGGCAGTATTAGTGTCTGGATTTGCTTCTTTTACATATAAAGCACTGGTTGTTTGAGGCGAATTGCAATAGCCTCTGCTGTTTGGAGCCTGCGGTGCTTCGATGTTTTCGGCAGTTTATTTGGCACCTGGTATAATACAGAGAATGATTCATCTACGATGTCTTTGTGGCCTGTTTGCACTAGATGGTCCAACATCGAACTGTTGATGGTTTTTACTACGCCTTTACTTAGCCATGCTGGGAGATGTTCTCGAGCACGAAAAATCAAGTTCCCAGAACAACGGCCAATATAACTGGCTCCACAAGCGCAGTTGAATTGGTAGATACAATTTGAAGTGGCTAGTCTAGGTACTTCATTTTTCAACCGAGGAATCACCATCGGTTGTGTAGAGAATAAGACGTATAGTTCGCCAGCATTAAAAGTACTTTGAACTGACTTTCTTAATTTCTTCGTAATTATTTTATTTGGCATATCGCCCTTGAAATGCAGTCGTATATATAAAGGCTTCTTTTTTACAGATAGTGAGTAGTCCTTTCCCGCTTTCTTTTTCATGTGTTTCTTGATAAATTTCTCAGAATAGCTTTGGTACTTTGGTACTGGGTAGTAATCGTAAATCTGTTTCGTTATCGATTGAAGAATAAACAATCGTAATACCCAGCCGTTTTTGGTTGTTTTGTGTCGGTCACAGTGCATTGTATTCGGCGTATTAGGCTTAGTCTTATGAAACCAGCAATAGGTCCAGGATCTTTGTGATCTGGATATTTGGCAACACTTAATGAAAAGCTGCTGAGAATTCTACACTTAAAAAAGAGTCCCAAATAGGACGAAATCTGCATCCTGGATCCCACCGCTAGTTACCATCCACCAGTTAAATGATCTGTACCAGTTCAAAAATTAAAACAAATAGTCAAAATCTAAAAAAACTAAGTGTCTCAGACGTCGACAAAGACAGGTTTGCAAAGTTAACCTCAGTCTAGAAGTCATAATACTGTGAGCTACTTCGATTGACATTGGATTTTCAGAAAACTTTTGACTAAAGTAACAGAAGTACAATAGGTTTCTTATCCAAAGTAACATTAACCTTTTCAACTTGGAAAATGCATCATCTTGAAGATTATCGATAAATATTAAAATTACATATATTGAATACTTCAAGTGACCAAAAACCACTTTTTCATCGAACTATTTATTTCTCTCCTGACCCGTACGTGCCTATTACTTTCCAGGTATCAACGTAATGAGAGCTGAATTTGAATGCATTATAAGGAACCATCTAGTAGTAGTTTTTGAGTAACGTAAAGAAATTCTAAGTCAAAGACAATCCAAAGGAAGACATCTGATAGGTTTCATGAAATCAATATTCATAATATACGATCTCATCTTCATTATAATGAATGCATAGATAATGGCTATAGAAATTATTTTCTATGATTGGTTTGTAAGGATTGAATTTGTTTTTACGAATCTGACCACAGATTGACATCTGTTAGAGAACTATTGAAAAGCAGCACCGTAATACTGGACAGCTGTTTTATCCTAGTTTGGGAACCATAAACAGTATGCACCCACTGGAGTTTGAACCTTCCGGTTATAAGGCAAGCTCGTATACCATTCAGCCACTGGGACCCGATTCAATGGCCAGCCCATGATTTCTAACTTCTAACAGTATTTCACTCGGAACTCAAACAGATAATAATTATAGCGAAAATATTCATTCAGGCATCTATAAAACACAAAATAATTGAGCAAAGAATATCTTTTTCGATAATTTCCTCTTCTGGCTCTACAATTATATATATATATATATATATATATATATATATATATATATATATATATATAGTTTATATACACAGAATATTCTAGAATAGTAGTCGATATCAATATTAGTGTTTTTTTAAATAATATCGATATGTAAAGTAATGGAATTACAGTTCGTTAAAGATGCTTAAATAATAATAATAAAGATATAATAGCAAATAGAATATCAACTAAAATTAGGGAAATTTCTACAAAATTGAGGATCATTCAAACTAAGATGGCCAAGGTAAGGATAACGTCTGAACTAGCTTCTTTCGGACGCATAAATTATCCTTACCTTGACCATCTAAGTTTGAATGATCCTCAATTTTTGTGGAAAGAAAAGAAACGAATCTACTCATTACAACTTAGAGGCAACTGAAAGTCTTTAAAACTGAATAACTACAATAGTAGGAGGCAACAATGTTAAAAATGATTTAAAAATAATAAAGACTTACTTTGATTGGAACATGTAATTGTGGCCAGCTAAGATCAGGATGTGGAGGAACAGGATTATTCCAAATAATCAAAATTGAATGTAAATAGGGAAGGTTTAAAAAGCTCTCCAAAGTTTGACATAACAGGTGGTAACGATCATAAGTAAGCATGACAACTAAAACAAATCAAAAAAGGATTTGAATCGGTTTGTAAGAAAGCATTAGAATATGGGCTACTGATATGCGTGTTTTGATGTATAGTGGCTTGCTTCAAAAAGTTCCCTACAACAATTTATGCTTGATGGAACATGATAGTGTCATGCGATTCACTTTTAATTGATAGAGAAGATTCCACTGAGAACATCAGTTGCAGTTAACAAATGATGGCATGCTTTTAAAAGTCAGTATTTATTGCTGTGTGCTATAATTTCATCTAACTGGATATCATTTACGGATGAGGATATACGTTATTGCAAAACAAACTTGATGCTCTTTGGTTCAATATACTTGAATAGGTAGAACAGGGTGGTCGAAAATGGTTTTAATTTGCTCAGGTAGTTGAACTTTGTATGACGTGCTTGCAGGAACACTGTGATCATATCAGATGTTACGTTCGGTGGTTTTAAAGGTGTTTTATCAACTCTGTACGCAGCTGGAGGATCTGTTGTGGCGTTTGCTATACTATGTGCGTAAGCGCACCACACTACCTTTTATCTTCAACCATCACTGACAATGGCATGAATTGAAATAGTGCATAGGTGTACTATTAAATTTATTTAAAAAATGATATTTTTGTTTTATTTTTGATTACAGCTTGATTCCACACCGTATTTTTGGTACAGTATGGAATTTTCAGCATGTGATATCGGTAGCCCAAATTTTGCAGGCCGACCATACATATCAGGTGTGTGTCGGCAGAGGATCGAACTCCGGACCATGTGCATGATCGGCGAGAGTCCTAACAGCTGTGCTGAGCCACCTTTATGAAGTCAATTAGTGGATGATGACTAGCAGTGGAAACCACGATGCGCATTTCGTCCTATTTGGGACTCATCATCGGAGTGCGCCTGCATTTCCCAGTGAGTAATAGTGTCCTCACTGAGGCTCAAACCCAGTACCCATAGTTTTGAGCATGGAAGCGTTATCCACTAGACCACGTGAGACCGAGCACTTTGGTCCAATCAATAGACAGGAAAATCTAAAATTGGATTAAATAATTAGTGACACGCGTTGCACAAGAGGTGGCTCTCGTGGCCCAGGTGGTCTTGTGGATAACGCTTCAGCGTTTGGAACGATAGGAACTGGGTTCGAGCGTCGAGGGGAACACCATCACTCACTGGGGAGTGCAGATGCATTCAGTGACGAGTCCCGAATAGGACGAAGCGCGAATCCTGGTTTCCACTGCTAGTGTCCATCAACCGATTGACTTCAAGTTACACGACTAGAAATCGTCAAAGCATCAGCACCAGAAGCCGACGTGTCAACCTGAGACCGACCACTTCAGCCAATCAATCGACGGGAAAACTAAAATTGAATTAAATGATAATTTACGCGTCAATAGCTTCACTTTCATCATACAAATTTGACGAGCAATCGGAAACTACTGTCATAATACCCATAATTTTGCCTTATCTTAAAAAGACTATATTTGCAGGCTAAAAAAGGCTTAAGCAAGAATCGACAATAAAGTCTATTGGCTACAGAAACAGATTTTTCATAATTTGATTGGACAGTTATTTGATGCCAGACCTTAAACAACCAATCAAAGTAGTTATTGGTAGTGCACACAAAAGACATATTTTTTGTCTAACTCTTACTGCCACAGATCAATCTTGCCTTTTGATTATTCCGTGGTTTCGGTAGAGCAGGGAGTATTTGGGGAGAATATTCGCATTTCCGTCTTCAACCGGGTTGCCTAGTGCACTCTTCAGTATTGAACCTATCGGAAATTAAATTCGATGTATGTGTTGAGTGAGAAGACACACCACTGAAAGTAGAAGGCCATCATCAATATTTCTAAATAATGTTTTTTTGTGAATAAATCGCCCAACATGATTTTGAAATCATGACAGTCATAATGACCGTGATGATGACCAGCAGTTCTAACGGCTTACCGACAACAAAATCGAAGCACTAGCATAGCGTAGATAGTACTAGTAGTGAGAAGAATACAGATGGGAAGACAACTTGGTTCCTGTCCGAATAACTTAGAACCTACCATTTCACTATCATTTTGAAAAATTCCTGCAGTTAAATGAGATTTTTATTAAAGCATTAATCGTTTTTCTGTCATGTGCTGCAGACATTAGTGGGGCTGTTAAATTTCAGTAACACACATCACATTTGAAGTGAAGTACTACTTAAACAATTTATCTTGTTTTGAAAATTGCAGTAGACACATTATTCGATCATTCAAAAAGAACTGAAATCAATTATTCTTACTCGTAAACTGCTCATATGGGTACATTCCACCTAAATTCATATTGAACTCATATCCGGCAAGATTAATAGAATGATTGATCGGTCTCAAACCATAATTAGTTGAAGCATCTATACAGCGAATAGAAGAAAATACCGAAATAAACCAGTTAAATATTCCCCGAAGGAAAACAGGTGAATTTTACAACAAATAACGTTAAAGTGCTGCTGGCCTCTCATCGTAAATAAAAGATTCTGGATTTGATCCCTTTTAGGGTCGTGGGTATGCAGTGACTGGTTAATAACGAACTCAACCTTTTAACCTAATTTCTGAGTGTTCAAACCCTCACCACAAGTTGCAGGTACACAGTGTTATTGAGTCGAAAGAGCTTCATAGTGCTTACAAGACTTCGACGGTTATCTAACCGATGTCGATTCGTAACAAACTCCACCTTGAAGACGAATAATTCATTTGACTAGTAAACTGTTTCCTTCTACACCTTTCAATTAACTAAATGAACAATACACTGGACTTAATAAATCTTATTCTATATGACCCCAATATATAAGTTTATTATTCAACAGGCTTTATATTAATCATGATGGATAAAACCATCAGATATGCAAAAATAAAATAACAAATTTCATGATAATGATATTCATTAAAGCTTGTGTGTGTGAAATGTAAACAGGACGCTAAGACGTTTAGTGTATTGTGCTGAGTTGGATCATGTTTAAATGAATTCTTCACATTAATTCTTTTATCCAGTTTCACCAACAAATTCTGGAACATAGGCATGCTTACCGGCGGCGTCCAACAATCGTCATATTTCTTGACCTGTAAGCAGAATTCGATTCCGTCGACTTAGTGGTACTATGGCAATGTTTGGAAGGAATGCCAAGAAAATACATTGCACTGATCACGGAACTCTACTCGAATTCATGCAACTAGGTGAGAGCTTACAGCGAGTTTTCATCTGAAGTGGTGCCCATCAATGATGCCCACTGTCCCCATTTCTATTCAATTTCATCATAGATGTACTAATGGACTTAACCCTAACTCACTTCAGCGACTAAAGGATTGGCTTGTCACCATCAGAGATTAATAGTCTCGTTGACTTAGAATATGCATATGATATAGTTCTCGTGCCCAGGTGAGGTGAAAGCGCTGGCGAAATGTACAGTCTTCTGGACACCTTGAGCTGCAATCTGCGTATGTTTTGCATCCGATTCACTCCCGCCAAATGTAAGATGATGCTACAGGAATGGACTGGACTACATTGACTCCTAGCTTAGAAATAGGGAGTGAAGTGATTGGTGGGGCGTTTTGACCACTTCACTTATTTGGGAAGTTGCATCAGTCAGTGTCAACGGGTTGATCACTGACGAAATCTTAGTACGGATACGGAAGGGTCGTTTGGCATAGGCCGACTTACATCATCTCCGGCTAAGTAGACGTGATATCCGGCTGGCTGTCGATCAGAGGGTGTGTGTACTGCTCAGCAGACCGCTTCATCCTCCGTTATGGCTGTAATACATGGCTATTGAAAGCGGAAGACGTCAAAATGCTAGCTTGCTTTATCTGATCACATGTGTCTGTCTTTTGTTTCCTGTGTTAAATGGTGGTATAACAGGGTGAGCAATATTGATGTTAGGCCTCAGTCGAGTGCTAGACAGAAAGGAGAAATCAGTCGACGAGGTTGTGAAGTTACACCGATTGAGTGACATGGTTATGGAATGTTTTACGCACGTCTACTCACCGCCTTCCTCGACAGGCAATGTTAGCTGACATACGATGGGTCAGGTTGGAAAAGAGACTGTGGTGATCAAACCAAAACATGGCTTCATCAGTCAGTGAAATCCTTAACAGTTAGTTCAAGCCATGTAGGGAGGTAGAGGCTGCTTGTTTGCGATCTCCGGTAATGCTAAGAATCAGAGGCTGGAGACAATTGGTGATACAGCTCAAGATCTCTTTTGAATCTCTCTCTCTACTCTTCTCTTGCTTTGTGTGTTACATAGTGTGGCAACTCGAACTATTGCATATCTGTGCACAGTTCTATGTTGAAACCAGTCAGTCAGTTTTTTATTTAGTCAGTTTATAAGCGAAATTGAATATCTGAACATTTAATATAGAAAGAGAATTTCAGGAATCAGGCACTTATATAAGTAAGTAACCAAAATTACAGAGCATTAACTGGGTGGAATGCAGAAATATGATGAGAACAGACATACACATAACTAGATACATCGTATATTTCTCATGAATATTCAAATAGTACTCAACTGGAGCCGAGAATGATAAGAATAATATATAGCGATTCAACCAACACAACTTTGATCATAGTGGATAAGCGCAACAACAAAGATAGTACATGTATGACAGGAAAAGATAATAAGGCAGAGATCCTTTCTAAATGCAACACATCCAGTTATCTGTATATATATTTTAATAAAAAGCCATCAGAAATTTTATATGCTTACTTGGAAATATGTTGCAGAACTACCACAGAAACAAATCATGAAAGATTAATACACCATTTTCCAACAGATATAAGCGAATACCCTGCGAATTTCAATTATTATTTGCCTTTTAGGTGATAGCAAGGCATTAAAATGTCTTTCATGGGCTTCTGTCAGGGCCTCAGGAAGCCGAGGATACATTCAATAATCTTGAAACCTCGAGAATAATATTTATAAAGCTCATTTTTCATAGGTATCACAAAATGCTCTCTTTTCTTAAAAATATAAATAATTAACAAGTTAATTTACTTACATGTTATAGCTTAAAATATCAGAGTTGAACTTTAAAAAGCTTGAGTAACAGTAAAGGAAATCGATTAACAGCTTTGACTACGTATGCTTTACATTTGAAATTGCTTTTCTTTATTCAAGTGACATTGAAGAACTCAAGGTAAAGTGTCATTCACGCAGTATAGTGATATCCAGAGTAAACCAATAACAAGTGCAAAAATATCATTTAATATTCTTTTGGACAAAGATTATCTGTTTATACACTATATCATATATAAAAGTGGTGATACAGTTATGTAACGGTAGTAATACACTACACCGAACAGTAACAAAAACTTACAAGGTTTGAATGCAGCATCAGATGGAAGTACAGGTTCCCAAGGTGTTGAGGGGAATAACCAAAATGGATTAACAATATTAGCGTCATCGTGAAAAGAAACCCTTGCGAAATGAGCTGAACCACCTGGGCCCGTGTAATTCGACTGATAACTGATAGAAGACTGTTGTGGTCCTGTGGGACCAAGAAAATCATCTAAATCAGCTTGAATGTTATTCTCTTTATGTACAGGATATTGTTTAGGCGGTGTAAACTCCCTGTAGGCTGGTTTACTCGGATAATACGGAGCAGGAGGCTGAGGGAAGCCGAGGCGTCGGCTAACGGCCAATAATAAAGTTGTGAGTTGTGATGACCTGTCCTTCAAATAACGCTGGAATAAAATTTGCCCCTGGAAAAGTTTTGTAAAATATTGATACATGTCAAAATGATACCTTTAGAAATGGTGAAAGTTCAAATGACAGCTTGGCTTTTCGGATAAACAGAATAAAGATGCTTTTTAAAAATATAGTATAGTGGTTCAATTTTGTGTCAGCTAAATTTGTCCCACTTTAAAATATAACACTGAGGCGAAAACTAACTAAGGTCCGCAAAAAAGTACAATATCACGAAATAAACAGAAAGCAATAAAATTTGAATCGGCATATAGGATGATTAAGGTAGATTTTCAGTCATATCACTTATAGTCTCCAATTATTCCTCCAGAGTAAACTGGGATTTCCAACCGAAATGCTTAAAAACGTATTATCAAGTATTGGTTTGGTAGGGATTTTGTTTGATTGCATGGAGGATTTCATCATGAGCTAACATCAGTTAGCGAACCACTGGAAAACCTGCAGGGAGTACTGGACAGCTGTTTTGTCCTAGTTTGGGACTCTTCATCAGTACGCACCCACCGGGGTTCAAACCAAGGACCTTCTGGTTACAAGGCGAGCTCGTAGACCATTGAGCCACTGGGGCCCGATCCAATGGTTCTTGAATTCTAACTTTTTCCAATTCACGACATTGCGCAACCATTTCAAAATGTCTTCTTCGATGAGTTACTGCCTCTTCTTCGACCTGCTGTACCTTACTGGTCACGGCTTCCCACTAGAACCCCAGATTAACTACCTGAATAGGGTCAGTCGCTAGTGAGCATCAGATTAGCTTTCAAGTATTGATTTTGTAGGGATTTTGTTTGATTGCATGGAGGACTTCATCATGAGCTGACGTATTAACACAACTAAAGGTAACAATCAAAGACTTCACATATTTGTATAAAAAAAACTTCAGTTTTACTCTGTATTAATCCTAATCAAGGTAATATGGAGCTCAGGATGAGATAGCTGAATATGTAATACACACACCAAAGTTATGTTACTTAATTCTGACGACAAACTCACTGACTGTCTAGCTGTCCCTAACACTTTACATCTAAACCTTTCGGACGAATATAAAGACAATGACGCTCAGATAATTATAGCCACTGAATATTGTGTTATTGTTACCCAACACATTCGACCCTTAAAACCATCTAAGTAACTCATAAACTCTATAATGGAGGCACTTTGACAAAAAACCAATTCGAGTTTTCATTCATGTCAAAATCGCTATGCAACTTCTCAGGTAAATTAAATGAAGTACACAATTAGTGGGTGTACCAGTATTCCAAGTTTCAGCGAAGGCTAGGTATTTACTTATATAGGTAAAGTAACTGCATTCAAGAGTTTGAAATCCAACTTGTTTAAGACGCGAGAATCGTCAGCCAATGTGTTTTAGCAGTGTGTATTTTATTTTATTTACAAGTAAATCATTGAGTACACCTAACAGAACGACTGAAGAAAAAAAGCCTATGTTAGTAGTCATGAAATACTCAGCAATATGTGCGTGATGACAAAAGATTTCGGAGAAGAATGATAAATTATGCGTAGTACTTTATTGTTTTTACTATATGGTCACGTAGTAAGACTAACCTGTCGGCGAATTTCTACAATATGTGTTTCAGGTAACGACTGGAGTATGACTGGAAGTTCTTCAACTCGAGGTAAAGGAACACGTATGACAGCTTTAGACAATGATTGTTCATCAATACCTTCATCACTGTATAAGTTATCATTTCCAAGAAAAACAGGAATAGCACCATTAGCTAAACAGACGACTAACTGCACACGTATTCCAAAACTGAGATGTGAATTTTTTGAAGGAGTCATTATCAGTCCAAATGTTGATTGGCGTAGAAGCTACAAAAATATAATAAAAGTAAGTCCTGATTTGACGCAGTGACTAATACTGGCAAAAGAACATAAACACCATGACCACAACAAAACTGCATAGCTGAGAAACTCAAGAAAGATCCACGTAAAGGTGGCTAATTATGACTAACGCATGAAAACTGTAGCACCATCGAATAGCAGTTCAAAACAAGTGAACTTGTAATTCCTTATTTCACTAAGTCACAGATGAGCATGAACTGATTTCCGTGATGTTAAAGAACAGACATCCAATAAGCGCGAACGCACTAGTAACCTTGGGGCACTCACTCTGAGCAAGACATTGAAAAGGGTGTTGAAAGAAGTGAAACAACATAAAACAAGATAGCTGGTTAGTTTGAAGTTGGGGTAGGGATGGGTTAGGGAGATATTAGGATTGGTAAGGGATGGATAAGGGTAGGAGTTATTGTTATTGTTCCTTTGGGTTCCGAGTGGAACATAGGACCTCAACAACATATCTTCACTTTGTTTTTTTCTGCTGTTCTCATCATCTGAGCTTACGCTTGCCTATAATCCCTCGTCTCCTCCTCGCACGATCTACTCCATGTCACCCTTGGACGACCCCCTCGTCGTTCCCCTTTGGGGGTCTACTCAAGGGCTTCAAGGGTTAAATTTAGGTTAGGTTAGGGAAGGATTAGGGTTATTGACGTGATCGCGCCTGTTAGGTGTCTATTGATATTATCTTTGCCATAATTTTTAATTTACCTCAATTTAGTTCATAAGATGTCACCATGTCAAAAAAACTGAGTTAAACAATACAGTCTTACAAAACATTCTACTGACTAATAAATTTTCAGGGGTTTAATAAGTCTAACTTAAAATTTTAAGCATTTATAACTCATAAATAAGCTATAAATAATTCAAGCATCATACATTTTTGTGTGATATTGTATTGAGCTAGTGCAAGATGTACATAAGGTTTTAAAGAGTGTTCGCCAATCATATACATCAAGCTATTAACTACTAGCATGATTATAAAGACGGAAATATACCGTAAAAGTTGACTATTAATATACATGATACTCAAGTTGTTAAAATACAGGTGAGACATCTCATGAAATACACATTTGATGTCACACAAAATCGAAGACTCACAAGTGAAAACCGACAAACTGGTCGAAGAAGCAGCCGGCGAAGACAGGACTCCAGGTGAACGTAGACAAGACGCAGTTTATGAAAATAACCAACGACAACAACAGCAACATCCAGAGCCAATCGCCATCAACGGGAGGAATTTGAAAGAGGTTACTTCTTATCTGGGGAGCATTGTCTCAACTACAGGAAGTCGGAACGGACGAGGATGTCAAATCGAGCGAGAATCGGCGGGAAGGCAAGAAACACATTCATCAACCTGAAACCAATCTGGAAATCTTCGTCACTCAGCCAGCATCAACAACAAAATTCGGTCGGATTTTCAATACAATACAAACACGTCAAGTCAGTCAGTTGTTCTATACGGATGAGAAACTTGGTGGGCGGGTCACAAAGAATATTTCCAACAGCCTGTTGCAGACCTTTATCAACAACTGTCTTCGCTCTATACTGGCCGAGCCGGAAAGAATCAATCACCAACAAGAAACTATGGGAACAAACAAACAAACAAAACAAGAACCAATCGCCAACCAACAAATATGCAGGAGAAAGTGGAGATGGATTGGACACTCGTGGCTGAGGAGGCCACTGGGTGACATGGCGCGCGCGTCAGGCCATTGCTCGAGTGGAACCAAACCTAAAGGGAAGCGGTGAGTGGGACGTCAGTGCAAGGGTGACACGGAGGAGATCATGTGAAGAGGAGTTGAAACAGTATGGACTAAGATGGATGCAGGTGAAAAGTACAGCAGAAGGAAAACAGAATCAAGTGGAGACGTGCAGTAGAAGCCCTATATTCCACTAGGAACCCAAGGAAACAATAACAATAATGATAACATTTTTTGTTATTCAACAGTTTGATTGGAAACATTTTGAGGACGAAAATTTAAAGAAACATAAAGAACCTTTAATAATGCTGTCCTTCATTAATATTGAAGTGAACAAGACTAGAAAGGCATGAAGTGAAGCGTGTTTACGGTGACATACTACATTGTACATTGAGAAAATCATATACCTTAGATTGATCGAACAATTAGTAGATAACACTGATAATACCTTCCTTATCCATTTCTTGTTGAATTCTTCACAGTGTTGTCACATTTTCTTCTCATTTCGTCTTCATTAACTTTTCCACTGACACAAAGATGTTACTCAGTATACTACTTATATCTATTTATAAGTACCAAACACACTATCCTACTACTAAAGGGTAAAATCTGATTGACTAGTCATCATTACAAAAATTATACTTAAACTACTTTTGATTATTCAGTATTACAACAAACAAGTGAAGCGGTATACTTCTTCCTATAGATTATTTAGTACGTAGAAAGTGTTCTCATATTGAATTCAGGTGAATAAAATCACTCATATACAAGAAGGAAATTTTAAAAATAGCATACGGGTGGATAGTACGGTGACCCTGATCACAGAGCTGTTGAACAGAATGGTAAAACATGTTAACGCTTATATTGTAAAACGATGAATATAGGTGTAAACATTTATTGTGAATGAGGTGACGTCTTTCACAAACACCTGAAAGAATATGAAAAGTGGACCTGATTGTATAGCAAATAAAAGTGCTTAAAATGATTCCCAGGAGTCTCAAAAATACTAAACAGCAATCCCCTGAACTTTAAGCTGTGTTAAGTACAGTTTAATCAACAGAAATGCTTCCGACTATAAAATGAACAGTAAAATATTCAACTTGATCTTGTTCTGACACTCAAAACACGCTTGGACTGCATTACATAGTCTTATAATAAATTAACGACTTCATTATTTTTAAACAATGATTAATTTTATTCTGTCAGTCAACTTGATTTGAACAACAATAAAAATAGCAGCAAGTGAAAGTGTTAAAATGCATTCAAAGCTTTCTATGTGTTTCACACTGAAGGATTAAAACAGACATAAACACACACACACACACACACGCAAAATGTTGAACAGAATTAACACCAAAAGAAGACAGTGAACGTAATCACAGTATAATTGAAAGTGTTACAAGTAACTTACCACTGAAAACTCATATCCTGTAAACCAAAATGTATGGAATTACGTCATCATTTTTTTTAAAAATGACCAGACACTTTAATGTAAGTTATAACAAGTAATGTTGCAAATACTAGTCACTTGGGAGAGAACAACCAAATAACTAAGCGAAGTAAAACAGGATTGATGACAGAATCTACACAAACATGGTGTAGAGCCTAGCATGGTATATAAAAAAATCTGTGATATGAACTAAAAGGACATAAGCCAGAAGGAAGAATTCCTTTCGTAAAACCTCATCAAAGTTGTAGAGTTCAATCTTCCTTGACGGGCAGTGTTAGCTGATATAGGGTCAGGCTGGAAAAGAGCTAGCGGGGGTCAAACCAAAATATGGCACCAGTCAATAAAATCCACAACAGTTAGTTTAAGCCACGTAGGAAGGTGTAGACTTCCTGACTGATTGGGGTCCTCGGGATGGTAAAAACCAATGCCTGGAAACAATTGGTGATATGGCTCAAAATCGTTCTCAATGGCTAGCGCAGATGCATCCACTCCTTGTGACTTATGATTTCCAGTGAAACTGTTTTGTTCTTCGTTACTACTATTCCTTTGTCTCACACCTTTGTTTACTGTCTGTATTATGCATTTCTTCTACTTTGTTCTCTTGATTTGCGTGCTACATGGAGTGTGGCGACTTGAACTGGTGCATATCGGTGCAAAGTTCTATGTCGAAAACAAACAGATAGACAGGCAGTAGAGTTCAATAGTTGTTTCGACATACCATGGAAAATACCAACAACGGTCAAAAACTAATGTCAGCTAATAATCAGGTCTGTCTGTCTGTTTTCGACATAGAACTTTGCACAAATGTGCGGAAGTTCAAGTCGCCACATTCCGTGTAGCACGCGAAGCAAGAGAAGAAAGTACAAGAAAAGCATAATAGAAACAGTGAGCAGAGGTGTGAGACAAAGGAGTAATAAGGAAATACAAAACAGTTTCATTGAAGATCATAAGTCACAGGGAGTGGATGCATCTGCGCCACTGAGAACGATTTTGAGCCATGTCACCAATTGTTTCCAACCATAGATTTTTACCGTCCCGAGGACCCCAGCCTGGAAGTCTACACCTTTCTACGTGGCTAAGACCAACTGTTGTGGATTTCATTGACTGATGCCAAGTTTTCGTTTGACCGCCGCTAGCTTTTTTCCAGCCTGACCCTATATCCGCTAACATAGCTCGTCGAGGGAGGCGATGACTTGGCATACGTAACACATGTCCTAACCATCTCAGTCGATGTAGCTTCACGACTTCGTCGATTGATTTCCCCTGTTTACCTAGAACTCGACGCCTAACCTCAATGTTGCTCACCTTATTATGCCACTTTACACGGGAGATAGAGCGCAGGCACCTATGATCAAAGGCAGCTAGTCTTTTCATGTCTTCCACTCTCAGTGGCCAGGTCTCACAACCATAAAGGAGGACGGAGCGGACTGATGAGCAGTACACCCGCCCTTTGGTCAATAGTCGAACATCTCGTCTACGCCAGAGTCGGCGTAAACTAACAAATGCGAAACGAGCCCCTTGTACACTTGACTGCAGATCAGGCAAGGGTAATTATTAAATTATGAAAATTGTTAATTTAGTCTTGCATAGTTTGAATAATGCGTAAGTGGTGAACATACACTACAAATGGATTCGTGAAAGTAAGCACTTAGAAACAAAAATATTACCCACTTGAATTTCTAAAGTGAGAAGTAATAACACACAAAATGAAGAGAGTATACAAACAAATTTCTTATGTAGTGAGTGAAACACAAGTGAATCTATCAAGGTAGAAATACAGCCTATTTATCCAGAACAATTTTTTTTATTAATCATACAACATCAGCAGTGGATTTATTCAGCGCGATGTAGAATGACACCAAGCTGCTTAAGAGGACGCCGCTAACAACCTTTTTGTGCATGACAAAACCCTACATTCTAAAAAGAAGCTTCAGGACTTTAAGTAGATAACCTATCGCGTTCTGAACATCTTTGGTATTCAAAGGAGATTGTGTTAAATTTTCACCTCGAACTATGTAATCTGCAAAGAGCTAAGCAAAACTCGCGTATTTTGAACTGATTTGACTTTCTAAGCTGAGTCGAAACAAAGTAGGCGATGAGCTCAGTCCCAAAAGAGACAATTGGCAGTTTGGCGTTTAAATCACTTCAATATGCCTAGCAAGTACCACTGTTTGACGTGAGTGGGTTGCAACTATTCGTATCAATCAGCCAGTAGTTTATAGTATTGATTTTCTTGTTGACAAAGTCTGAAATGAGCATTATATGTTACCATTGGGAACTTTGATATTTTATTTATTTATTAATTTATTTTTTGTTGTTTTGTTATTTTTTATTTCAGCTTGATTCCACACCGCATTTTTTTAATACAAATACGGAATTTTCAGCATGTGATTTGGTAGCCCAAATTTTCCAGGCCGACCATAGATATCGGGTGTGCGTCGGTAGGGGACCGAACCTCGGACCATGTGCGTCGTCGGCGAGAGTCCTAACCAATGTGCCACCGACGTACAGTGAGTAACAGTCAAATCTAGATTGCGAATAATGAATTATTTATTTACAACTAACAGAATGGTTGAGATGAGGGTCTACGAAGCTGGTGAATACTAAAACTCATATTATGAATTTTTTCAGGTATTGCAGCATTTCAACTTCAGTTTCCAGTGTACGTAGTTTCTGACTTCAGTCCAAGAGTCATATCTAGTGAACTTTTCATAGCTAATTGTTAACATAACAAAAGGTTGACAACAAAACAGTAACTTACTGATGAACCATCCTCACACGGAAACCAATCTGAATCTAACAAAGAATTTTGTATCAGAAATTCTTTATACTTATGTGACCAACAGTTTTCTTTCTTTTCATTTGTCTGATAAATCGATATAGAAATAAGAGAACCTGATTCATTCTTTTTGTGACTATCTTCATCGAATTGTTTCAAATGTTTGACAACCCAATTGTTTAATGGTGAAAATTTATTTCTAATATGACTTCTAGTTAATATGCCAACTTTAAAGCTTAACAATAATGAACGTCTACCTGGTAGTAGATGTAAAGGAGCATTATTAGAGCACATCTTTTCAGAATTTCTACATAAAATAGCATAATTAACTGGAAGTAAGAAATCAAATCCACGTCGAAATGTTTTTTGAGGAAATGAATAAGCCACTAATAAAAAGTTGAATTGATGATTTGTTGAATAATTGTATTTTCGATAAATATCATCAAGTTCCGAAGAATTTTGAAATAAAACAATACAGGTTGGAGAATTCATTGAATTAGTATTCCTTTCTAGAGTACATTTACGAATTCCTTGAATACCAAACAATAGCCTTAGACATGCAGAATGATTAATATTACAACTTTCAGTAAAATGTGGTGAACTTTGAAGTAATTCTTGAGACAGCGGTGAATTGTTTAAGATATACGAGTCGGTACAAAATCGTAGGAATCTTGTATGACGACATCGATTCCAGTCAATACATGATTCTATAGTACAAACTTCATTTGAAATAACACTGTCAGTATGTTTCTTAAATTTTTCGTCAAATTTAATCTGAACAACTGGCCATTTATGATAAAATATGCTTGGCAAATTATTCATGTCTGAAATTTTCTGTTGATAGGAATCCAAAGTAACCTAATAAACAAACAAAAATAGTATTGATAAAGTTAAAAATCTCCAGGTAATTCAAAGTACTCCAAGATGGAAATACAAGACCACTAGTGTAAATACAAACTTAAAAGTATAAACTTTCATTTCAGTATAAACAATCAGGTAGTACTTTCAACCCTCAATAGAAAGAGTTGGTCACAATTTATGACACAAAGTCAAAGACAAAGCGAGAATTGAAGAACAAAAAAGACAATTCAGCGAGGAAAATTTTCTTAATCGAAGAAATCATCTTCAGAGGCTGTACAGTCGTATTTATATTTACCAAAAATGTACAGTAGTCTATTATTGAGCAATACGGGGTGTGACATAATTGATATAATTACTCAGAAGTGGCTTTAGAAGTAAAAATAAAAGTTGTAAATCACACAGTACTCACCAGCAGAAAGGAAGAAAGGGTTAGATATTTGATAAGGTTACAAGTGCTACTGAGTGAGAATAAAGGTAGTTGAGTGTCAAATTAATAAGTGTGAAGAGGGTGTGGAATTGTATAAAAGGAACATATAAGAGTGGTAGTAGTGAATTAATTATTAAATTAAAAGCAAACTAAAAGTAAAATTACAAAATAAAATGTTTTACAGGGAACAACTAGTGAAGAGGTTAAGACCATGGTAGAATAAGCGACTAGACAGACATTTTTTGTATGCAGTGTTCGGGGTTGTATTGACGAATCGCCAATACCTCCGCCATACACCAATATCGAAACCTGACACCCTTTGTACTGTTTGGCGTCACCTTATAGATGATTTTGAAAGACGACTCTGGTGGAGCTACGTGGCTTGAGTTCACAAAGTGCACGAGAATTGAACTGGTAACTGTCTTGCATTGTCCTTTCACTAACCATGCCAGATAATGTTCAGAGATGCGTTTGGAAAGTGTGCGCTTTGTGCGGTCAATATAACTAGCTCGACACGAGCAGATGAATTTATAAACACACATTGAAGTGGCCCTTCCAAAACGGCAGTTTATCCTTCACACATTCATTGATCATTTGTCGGCTGTAGAAATTGATCCGTAGCTCAGCCATAAAGAAGGCTTTCCTCAGTAATCTGCATAGGCGATTCTTCAGGATCTCAGCTGCGGTATCATCTTTAAATTTAACGTTCATGAATAGCATTTTCTTCGGCACCGTCTGGGTTCTTTCAGGAGTTTGCTTTAACTTCATGTTTTCCCCAATGAATCTTGGAGGATATCCATTTTCTATGAGGACTTGTCTAAGTCGTCCCAGTTCCCCGTCGATTGTATCACTAGAACATATCTTTCTTATTCTTGGGGATAAGGAGTGGCTCACGTTTCTCTTTTTTCTTAAACGGAACCAACTATGAAAATTCATGTATTTACCATTCCAAGATGATTTCCTGTAGATCGATTTTTGATCAGATCTCTTTTTTAGAAAAACATCCAAAAAATGGAATTCGGAATCCATTTCTGATTCCAACGTTAATTGGATGGCATATGAACTCTTTAGTTATGATTTCGATGTCGGTATTCTCGTCACATATGATGAAAGTATCATGCATGTATCTTTGGTAAATATGGAAGCTATCTAAAGTATCACTCTCATATATTCCTTCTGTACATTTTCACACCCTATTCACACTTCTTAAGGTTGACACTCAACTACCTTTATTCTCACTGAATAGTAACTTTAACCTCATCAAATTTCTAACGTGATTTACAACTTTTATTTTTACTTCTAAAGCCATTTCTGAGTAATCATATCAATTATATCCCCTCTATTATTCAATAATAGACTACTATACATTTTTGGTAAATATAAATACGACTGTACAGCGTCTGAAGATGATTTCATCGATAAAGAAAATTTCTTCATGAGTCAATGGGTATTTTCGGTGATTTAAAGCAAGAATTACATATTACTATTGTTTTAAGTTTTACCGCTTATTTCGATTTCGCTATTTTTCATGCGAAAGTACTTTTAAAAAAGTTTTCATATTCGTGTTAATTTAATTAGACTACAACAAATATCCTTTCTCTACGCACTAAATATCTGATTCAGAGTTGAAGAGTTACGTCTATTTACTTGTTTAACTGACGATTTTAGGCAGCTTGTGAACAATTCAATCAAAAGTAAAATAGCTTTTAACGAATTCACCATATCAGGTGATACAACGATCACTATTACGTATTCATCTTTTCAAATTATTACTCAACAATCAAGTGTATTTTAATGCACTTCACTATGAGCTACATCCATTTTGTGACGATTAACGATACTGCCTGATTGCTCAAATCTAAGCAAGCAGTACCAGAATTCCAAACAGTGATCGTCTGATTCAAAACCGAGTGACCTTATCCAGTATTTTACCATCAAACATAAACAAATATTATATACATACATATAATACTTACTTTGAGGCGCATTATTTGTCTTGATTGTTCTACAAGAACAGATCTTAAACGTTCAACTTGATTTTGAAGAACACTATTAGCATCGACTAATTCTTTACGTCGTTGATGCAGGCTAATTAATTCATCGTGGACAGAATGATTAATGCGCATTAATTCGTTGATAAGAAATGGTAGAGTTGATGGTGAATCCATGAAAATATTTCCACCTTTTTGATGATTAGATGATATGATTTTTCAGATAAACGATTTACAGATATGAGTTGAGAACACATATCTAATGGATATGAACTCCAGAAAAGCATAAGTGTATACAGAAATACAATGGTTAATGCGAATGTGCATAGAGCAAATAACTTGCGATTTTGCATAAGAAATAAGTAGTATGTTTGCATTGTGATTACTGACTCATAAACGAATGGATGATTCTGGTAAACATACGTTTATTAATGTTTTGTTTTGGGAGGATACCTAATAAAAGAGGAAAAATATACAACACATGTTGATTGACAGATATAGTGACAGAGTAGCACTCAAAAATCGATATTCAGTACTTAATGACGACTACAAAAAACTAAATTCCGAAATGACTTAGTACATTCATAACAAGAATGTTCCAAATGAAAGAACTTGTGAGTAATATATATATGATCTCTACTAACCATACAGTGCCATACATTGATCACGTTTCTAGCCAACAATTTTTTATTTCATTTTCCGATGTAAACGAAAGTTAAATGAAGCCGTTGGTTCCTACGACCCTTGCAAAATTGATGATACTGATATAGAAATCAAGTTTGAAGTTAAGCATCTTGGATTAATTCTTTCTTCTGACTTATCCTGGTCTTCCCATGTCTTAGAGATTTCTAAAAGAATATTTCGTCTGACTTTTTACATTAAGAAGTTGACGCACTCAGGCATAACCCAGCCACTCCTCTTACAGTTTGTCAACTCGTGTATTTTACCTATTCTTCTTTACTGTTCACCCTTATTCTTTCCTGGATTGCTTAAAAAACACTATGTCATACTTCGTAAAACTCAGTAGGACGAGTGGTATCCCATTGGGCCATATCGTTGACACTGTCACTGATACACACTTGATGTCATGCAACAAATTCGCTACGGGAATTTTGTCAGACTGTGAGTACCCACTCAACGCGCAGCTCCAACCTTGTGTCTCCTCAGGTAAAACAAGAAGTCTTTTCAGAAGAATTTATACACGTACCTCTAAGTATAAAAATTCCACTATACCATATTTAACACGTACTTTATGTGATGAAAATGGTGTCGGGCACGAACTAACTAACCTTCTTTGTACTACTAAATAAACCATTTCTTCCACCCTTACAGGACCAAACTTTATTGTTATTGTATTTCTTATATTTATAATCCTCTCAATTTTTTGTTTTTATTTATTTATTTTTCATAAGTGTGAACATAATTTAAGCTGTGTTAATAACTGTTAATTTTGTATTCCCCCTGACTATACTATATCAACAGAACATTAGATCCAATAATCTATAACATGCTAAAGTTTCCAAACTGAATCGACAATACTGTTTGAAACAAACTCACTATTATTATTATTGTTATTATTATAATATTTAATAATCTTAATTCGCGCTTCGAATATTTTTGACTTTATATCGTAAACGTGGACAAATCCCCCTGGTTACTTAGATTTTAATTTTAAATTTTATTTATATTCCATTCTGTATTATAAGTACTGTTTTTGGAATAAAGTAAATTATTATTATTACAAAATCGATGCCAACAGTATGGTTTATTATTTCACAGGAAAACATTCTTCTTTTTGCATCCATGCAACATTGTTTGCTGTTATATGTGTACCATTAAATCGCTTCTTAATGTCAACCAAATTTATAGTTACAGAAACACTTTGAATCGAAAACTTCACTTAACCATAAACAAACGCAGTAGAACGAATAACGACTAATTCAGCTGTATTTACACCTAATTTAACCATTTTCATCATAGAAGTGAACACACGACGAGATTAAATATGACAGATTTCAATTTTTTCTCATAAATACTAAAGACTACGTATACAATGGCCACCATAATAAGTTGTTATGTGTTTTGTGAAGACGGTAATCTATAGGTGGTCTAAATTTATAACGTGTAATATATATGGAAGGAACCTAAACTAAAGTGAAAAGCTACTCAGAGAATTAACCGGATAGGAAAATCAGATTTTTAGCTCAGGTGAATGATTTTGCAAATGGGCACAGTGTTATATTCACTGTAAACATATCATAAACTAAAAAGTTAGTGAAGTCTTTCAAAACAATCAGTGCAATTGATGAACAGATAGTTAAAATCTATACTTGTATAATAAGCTCTAGCTTAATAGTTAAATTGAACAATCCATCACGTTCATTACTCTAATCTCAATAACAGGGTGGCATTTTCTGCTCGAGTTCCATTTTGAATTTCATCGTTAATTTATTTATTTTTTTGGTTTTTATATTATACAACGTAAGATTATTGATTGGCTTAAAACACAACTTGTGGCGACTTGAACTGCCGCACATTTGTGAAAAGTTCTATGTCGAAAACAGACAGACAACTTGTTAACCAATATCATTAATTTTAGCTTTTTGACTGCCACTAGCATTCTGCATTTAGTTAAGTTGAATTTGTATATCCCTGACAGATGCGCAATGTTAGCTCAGGTATCTACATATCAAAGTCTCATTAGGTAGTACATAATTTTTTGGTTAGCCACAATGTTTTTGCTAAGCTTGACTGCCCACTGAAATTAAGATAAAATTTTAAAATTACTTATTATTCAAAGCTTCATCCTACAGAATTCACAAAATGACTACTAAGAACTTTTCATCACAAAACCGATGAAGCTTGAGTCAATAAACTGCCTACACTTTCTGCTCCCAAAAAACTTCTCTACTTGAATCTACAATTTAGTAGAGACCCATCAGTAGGGATACTGAGACACCAACTGTCTCCTCTCACTGGAGAAAACTTCCTCTACGAAACCAATGATTTGCGTGAAAGTGAAGGATAAGCTAACACTGTTGACTACCTCGTCAATGTACATCTACCAAATCACCTACTCGTGTGGAGATAGGTACGTCGACCATACCCTGAATTCGCTATCCGAACGTATCATCATCGAACACTTACCTTCATGGTTTTATAAAGGAGAAAAAAAATCCCCATGCAGCTCTATCCTGAAACACCTGATCGAATATGGACACCAAGCTAACCCACAAAAGACACTTCAGAGTTATCTACAGAATACGTAGGAGTCTTTCGAAAAGAGCACGAATCAAACTTCTTCAAATGCCAGGAGAGATGGCATTTCACATGTTAAGTCCTGAAGTCTGTATACAGTAGAAGTTTGTCCAATTATTAAATCTACAATGGATCTTAACAACAAATACGTCATTTTTGTTTTTTGTTTCCTAATTGCATTACTTTCTCCAACCACCCTCTATTAATTTGCTACGCCTTATTACCAATGCTGTTAACTCTCGTTCAATTTTAGTTGAATTCTACCCAACCCCGTCAATTATGTTACATCACTAAATTTACTCATTTTATTTGTTTCTAACCGATAAACGCTTCCTACATCATGTAATTTGTTAACCAAGATTTACAATTTTAATGAAACATACGTTGGTGGCACAGTGGTTAGAATGCTCCCCGACCATGCACATGGTCCGGGGTTCGATCACTGGCCGACGCACTCCTTTACCTCACTTAGCCAGTGATAAGACTGGTAAGGAGGGAAGGTTGGGCATGAGGCTAGCAACCTCATCCTGTAAAAATAAACACTGCTACTGAAACTTTAAGCCTCCAGGTTGAAACCCTATGTTCCACTGGGAACGTGAAAGAAATAAAAAAAATGAAAAAAATGACATATTTGGATGCATTCATTTTGTTGCTAAGAGAATTTAATATATATATATATATATATATTGCGATGGTACAGCCTGAGAATGATATCGCCGAAAAGAGTAACTCTTCACTGAACGCTTTTTCTTTCACAGTAAGTTTAGGAATAAAGTGTCAGTAAATGCATACAGCAAAATTACAATGCCACTATGAAATGAAAGTTAAGTAACTGTTAAATAAAAATTCATACTTACCTCTTCTGATTAGTCATACTGAATCAAGAGAAATTTAAGACATAGTAATCAAGCTAACGGTAATATAATATTTGACAATCAAATAGTTTAACTCAAATATTTCTTCCTAACGTACTATCTAACCAGGATAATAGACGAAAATTATTTGCATGTTTGGTACGAAACTTTTAAAAATGATGCTAAAAAATAGACAAGGAAACAATACAATATCTGTCCACTATTATTTCAAGGAAAGTGATGTGTGATCTGATGATACACTAATTTTATTTTGTATGGTAGATAGCGGTACATTGTCACTGTATGGAATATCAAATAAAATTATTCTATTTTGCAATTACACTCTAATTATTATTATTGTTCCCTGGGGTTCCTAGTGGAACATAGGGCTTCTACTGCACGCCCCCACTTGCTTCTGTCTTCCTCCTGCTGTACTTTTCACCTGCATCCATCTTAGTCCATACTGTTTCAACTCCTCTTCACACGATCTCCTCCATGTCACCCTCACACTGACGTCCCACTCACTGCTTCCCTTTCGGCCTGATTCCACTCGAGCAATGGCCTGACGCGCGCGCTGTCATTCAGCCGCCTCTTCAGAGAGTAATGTCCAATCCATCTCCACTTTCTCCTGCATATTTGTTGGTTGGCGATTGGTTCTTGTTTTGTTTGTTTGTTCCCATAGTTTCTTGTTGGTGATTGATTCTTTCCGGCCTGGCCAGTATAGAGCGAAGACAGTTGTTGATAAAGGTCTGCAACAGGCTGTTGGAAATATTCTTTGTGACCCGCCCACCAAGTTTCTGATCCGTATAGAACAACTGACTGACTTGACGTGTTTGTATTGTATTGAAAATCCGACCGAATTTTGTTGTTGATGCTGGCTGAGTGACGAAGATTTCCAGATTGGTTTCAGGTTGATGAATGTGTTTCTCGCCTTCCCGCCGATTCTCGCTCGATTTGACATCCTCGTCCGTTCCGACTTCCTGTAGTTGAGACAATGCTCCCCAGATAAGAAGTAACCTCTTTCAAATTCCTCCCGTTGATGGTGATTGGAGCTGGATGTTGCTATTGTTGTTGTTGGTTATTTTCATAAACTGCGTCTTGTCTACGTTCACCTGGAGTCCGTCTTCGCCGGCTGCTTCTTCGACCAGTTTGTCGGTTTTCACTTGTGAGTCTTCGATTCTGTGTGACATCAAGCATAAACCATCGCCGTGCGAAATCCAGGTCTTCTAGGCTCTTCACGTCGGTCCAGGATATCCGTGTCTTCTCGTTTCCCACTGT